GCCAAAGCGGGAGTGTCCCATGTAAATTGATGTTCCCGTGTGGGGGAGAGGTCAGGTTTTGCCGGAAATTTCCGGTCCGGATAGATTTCTCCAAATGCTGCTGAATGCGATTGTGCGATCTCCGAGGGGTGAAACCATGTAGGACGGCCCACACGAGGCACGGAAAAATCGTAGACAATAGTCACTTAGCAGCATTTAGGTACTCTTCCCCTATGTTTGAATGCGGGATCTACTGAAAGCGAATTCACCAAAACAACCCTAGGATTTAAAAACGAATAAAATTTCGATACCAGGCTGATGAACTCACGTTTTTTACTTTCAGAATCTGAGCCAAAGTACCGCAGAATAAAACGTTTTTGTCTTTAGTTTATGAACATCAAACGGCCTGGACAAGGAAATGCGCCTAGAATCGGGGAACCAACTTAAGGGGAGACCGTTGTTTTTTATGGGGAGGCCGTTGTTTCGGAAATAACCCTTTAAATATTCGATTTCAGCCTGGAAGTATTGATAAGCAGAGTTGATAAAATGCTCTAAAGATGGCCGTCCATACGGAACTAAGCTGGAATGAATCCGGAACAAAACTGAAAGATACTCGTACCCAGGCACGTAAAAGTAGGTTTTCGGCACACCGAAGTGCGTAGACAATCACCTTCCTTGCGGATGAGGATGTCCAGAAGTAATATTTTGCCGTCTGATTCCTCTTCCATCGTAAATATAATGTTTGGATGCTTCCATTTCAAGAAATCACGGGATAAAACAGCTTGAGACATATCCTTCAAAAAGGAAAGCAATCATCGACATACCTACGATAAAAGGAGAGAACTCGGTCGGACAGGAACTAAGTCAGCGTTTTTCATAATGACACATAACAATATTACTGGACGTTGGACCCAAAGGCAGACCCATACTCACTCTCTCCGTCTATCAAACTTACCATTGAAAACGAAAACGAGTTATTTACAGCAAGCTCAAGGAGAGGTGAAATATTTAATGGTTATTCCTATCACCTCAGCGGTGGTCGAAAACAAGCACCAACACAAATGTCGATGGTCTCTTTTTAAGGAATGCTAATGAATGAACTAACTACATTGCGACTAGCCATGGATGTGCCACCATATAATTCTACGCCTACTACTTTATTCGAGAACTCATAAGAGCTCCTTATAGCGCACGCATTTCTTGGGAAAGGGTTAAGCACAGTAACCAGGAATTCAGCGGAGTTATAATCTGGAGTGCTACAAGCGGAGAAAATAAGTCGAAGAGGTGCTAACGCCTCGTGGATCTTCGGAAAAACGTACAGAATATCTAGCGTACTTCCAGATACAAACAGGTATTTGCACGCTCCATCCATTAGCATGCCTACGGAATTCAGTTTGGACAAAAGCCTTCTGATTACTTCTATCCCTGTCTGGTTTTCAAATGGCAATGTTCTTGTCAAACGCAAATTGTCTAAGAAGAGAAAGGTCACGACGCAAAAAAATGGGGGAGAGCCATGCAAGATAGATACCATACGAAAACATTCATTTACATGTGGCACCCCAGTTTTGGCTTCCAGTGTTAGTGTTTTGTATGGGACATATCGTCCACTCGATTTGAGAATCCTTGAGTCTTTAAGCATTTTTTAAGAAACTCCAGCGCTAAATAGCACTACTTCATCCCATCCATTAGCAATTGTGATAAAATAAAATATGTCCGTAAAGTTGGGGTTGTTCGTGTGTCAATGTATGAGCACGTGTGGATCTTCAACTTGCCTGTGCATGTTTTAAACCATAGTGGCTTACAATAAAAGTGCGTGTTCTTTTGTCTGACAACGCAGCCGTTGTTCTGTGAAACGCGTTGCAAGCAATGTAAGACGCATAAGTTGATCAGCATATGCTGCTATGAGTCACTTCTTAGTGAGGTAACTTTATATATGCATGTATACACACACACACACGCATATATATATATATATATATATATATAAATGAATTCATCAGAATGTACACGAACCTCATGTGGTGACGCGTTTTAGTTTATTTAAAACTGTCGCAGTGTGGGTAAACAATCATTTCTACTTGCCACAGGAAAAAATAAAGATCGACACCTGTGCATTGAAGGTGGGAGAGCCTCCGCCCTGGATACTTCACACATTTTGTGCAATAGGTTTCGGTTCTTACGTTGAGTCTCCCTTGAAGGCGTGATGTTCCCTGTAATATAATGTAATATACTAAGCCCCCAGTAATCCCAATACACGCTCTCTCTTTGAGCCTGCCAAACACCACATGTTTTGTTCCAAGAGAAGGTGAACTGACACGCTGGAAACATCACACCTCGAAGGGGGCTCGATGTTAAAAACATAATGTAATGTCAAAAACGTGTTTAAGGAGTACCCTGAAGAAGGCTGCCCCACAGCCAATGGACATGTGGCGATTGTCATTCTCACTGCATGAAGTGGAAACAACTGAGAACATGTTCGTAAAACAGCTTCCGACGGAAGGCTATATGACAACATGGCTCCAGACAGAAAGCTACCGCCTGATATATTACAAGAGAAGCCGACAACGCTGCCACAAACATCATCCTATGGTCAGACAGCTTCAAATGCATCTAGAATCAATGCAATGCACGCCAGTGGAGTCTTGCACGCCAAAGTCTTATTTGGCACCAAGATTCCGCCAACTATGCATGCAACTATGCTACATCTCTGTCAGAGATTGACAATCTAAGTGTAGTTATTTGGCATCACCACCTGCAATTGAAACTGACACATCGCGCCGGTTTGTGGTGTCGATACGAGTGAGCAAGGTGCCCGATTTAAAGATCTGAACGTTAATTGAAAGCTTAGTTTTGCTTGGCATCCCGTGGAGAGAGGAGCATGAATAGTTCCTTGCCATGCATCTGGCTGGATAACCAGGTCCGTTTCAGAGCATGCGCTGCCCCAGGGGGGCTCACTGTCGTGCCGTCTGATCTGTGAGACGACAGATCAGGTCAGAACAGATCTATCACTGTCGGTCCGCCACTGTCGTCTGATCAGTGAGACAACAGATCAGGTCAGAGCAGATCTGTCACTGTCGATCCGCCACCGTCGTCTGATCTGTGAGACAGCATATCAGGTCAGAGCAAATCTGTCACTGTCTGATCCGCCACTGTCGTCTGGTCTGTGAGACGACAGATCAGGTCAGAGCAGATCTGTCACTGTCGATCCGCCACTGCCGTCTGATCTATGAGACAACACATCAGGTCATAGCAGATCTGTCACTGCCGATCCGCCACTGTCGTCTGATCTGTGAGACGACAGATCAGGTCAGAGCAGATCTATCACTGTCGATCCGCCACTGTCGTCTGATCTGTGAGACAACAGATCAGGTCAGAGCAGATCTGTCACTGTCTGATCCGTCACTCGCTGTTCACCCGTCACTGTCCATCAGTCGTCACACTCATAGAGGTGGGATAGGAATAGGAATAATAATCATAACACAAATTAAAATATAATAACAAATTGTGAGTGGCGCACCAGTTGCACAACTTCCTTCAAAACGGAATGAGGTTTAGTATATCTTCAGAAAAGAAAGTCCTCGCTCCGAGAAAGTTCTCGCTCCGGCAGCTCGGCCACACCCACTTCTCTCCGCTACAGCAGCTCGGCCACACTGACTTGTCTCCGCTACGACAGCTCAGCCACACCCACTTCTCCGCTACGGCACCTCAGTCACACCGACTACTCTCCGCATTCCGCGCGAGCGGTCACGCATCCGAGAGCAAACCAGGACAGCGGGCAAAGGGGAGCACACTGGATCGCTCATGTTGAACGAGCCACCTCGCTGTAGCCATCGCAAGCACGGGCTCCATCATCGACAAAGACCGGCGTTCGGACCCTGAGCGGACACCGCGGCTTGGAAGCTGGACAAATGTGGAAACCAACGGAGGGAAACAAATCACGGAGCACGGAGGCGGCTGGCAGGGCAGCACGAGGCAAGGGCGGGTCCACAAGAGAGAGAGAGAGAGAACGGCTCGCGCACAGCACGTCGGAACTGAGAACGTTCAGAGACGGACCGGTACGGTCAGGCCGTGAGCTACGAACTGCAAATGTTAGTCGTCACGGGCGCTGCGGTGAATGCTGTCGGGAAGCAGACTCACACTGGGCCAGGCGTAGAGTGGCCTAGTGTGTTGTCATAAATAACTGTCTTGTGACCAAACCAGTGTCCTAGCCCATAAAATGGTTTATCCCACACGCTTGCCTCAGTATTGCCTTCACCAGGAACGATTTCGGAACCGAGCTATCTATTATTAAACCGGAATCCGAGTCGATTCAAAGCAGTGCTGTGCTGGTCAGAGAAGGAGTCAAGATCGGCCCCATGCGCTGTGAGTCGAAATTGATGCCGCTGAAGCGGAACAAGAACATTCCCATGGGAGTTATGTTCCATCCTTGACTCGTTCTGCTCGAGAGGATGGTCGAGTCAAGATAAAAATGCACTAAGAGAGCGGCTGCCGCATGGCAAATCCAGCTCCGGGGCGGGTGCACGGGCGCAGCCCACCATCGACACCCCATTCAGGGGCCATGTTTGGGTTCGTGCCGAACAGACTGCTGATGAAATCTTGCATCAAATGTTCTCCGCTTCACGGGAATCGCTATAGAACCACGGACGCAGCAGCCGAAGACGTGGGCAAAGGTGTCGGGATCCGTTCCACTTGAGTCGGTTTGGGTTGGGCCTATCGCGCTGTACTGGAAGCATTGAGCGGATATGAAGACCGCCCTGGCCCACGCGACCCCGGGTTCGGCTCCTGCACCAATGCAAGGGACGGGCCTCGCCCTCCCAACGCAAACGCTGGACCTTCCACACCCCAACCGGCTGCCGCACAAGCGGACGTCAGCTGGCGATAGCGGCCCAGCACGCCGCCGTCCGGGCGTGCTCTGACGGCGAGCGGACGCACCCGACCCCGATAACGCTCAAATCCCGTCCGCTTCCTGTGTAGACTACGCCGCAACGGACACACGTGCTGCGCCAATCGGCGCCACTGACCTGCGTAGACTGCTATCAGCACCCACTGCTCCCGCTCGAGCGAGATCAGCTGCGCTGTAAAGTTCGCTCTGAGCACGAGCGGCGCCTCACCCCACCCCTCCAGCGATTCTCCACACGACTGCCGCCGGCCAGTCTCTGGCAGAGGTCAGCCGCACCATGTACAGCCTCTGACAATGCGCACACGGACCGTACCGTGATCGGGCTTCGCGGCCGGGCGGGCGGGGACGCGCACACCTGCGCTGATGAATAGCGAAGTCCGCCGTCAGACCCTGGCCGACACGATGGTCCACAGAGTCTGCTGAACCGCGGAAGCTTCCGCTGAATGTCTCGGGGCCCCGGCTGGCTGGGATCCTCCCTGGCAGCCAGCGGTGCCATGTTAAGGTGCGGCCGGAGGCTTGCGGGTCGCGATGTAGCGATTCAATCTGTGAGTCAACGAGGAGGCGAAAGGATCGTCTTTGAAACACGGACTAGTGGTCACGTCAGCCGGATCAAAACATACGCGCCTCGCTGATCGGTCACATCCGGTTAACGGGCGGGCGCGGGTGGAACGCTCAGATCGATACCTGAAAGATTACCGCTCAGCTCTCAGCACGGCACGGCGAACGCCCGCTTGGGAGCAGGGGTTAAGCATGGAGCCGAAAGGCAGGCGAGGCTAGACTGACAAGGATAAGAGCGAAAGCATGGAAACGGTCCTCAAAAACGTGTCAGCGGAACAAATGAAGCTGCACCGCTTTTGACGACGTGTAACAGCATAGCCGGCAGCCCAGTCATGCGGCCGCGGTGTCGTGCAAACGACGGAAGGCAGGGGGCTGCGCATTACGATCACCTCACTTTTTTTCGTGCAGATCACGTTTCTGATTCACTTATTTCAGAGTTTCTTCCAGCTATATTACAAGACTAGAATTGTGGGCTTCTTACAGCTAAAGCATTCCGCGAAAAGTCGACAGATCGAAGGTCAGTTTTATACCCTCATCTCTCAGACCTTGTTAAAATGGGTCACAGGGGTTGTTACCGGCGCTTAAGACTCTCGCGACATTTCAGGCCTTTCGGTTGAACCATGTCGGAGTTACATGCAGCCTTCGGCATTTTCGCGTCGTGTGGTTGAAGGGCCATGTTCGGCGGCAGTTTTTTACTACCATGAAAGAAAACCGCACAAAAGTATATGCCAAAATGATGCAATAATCTTACAAATCACGTATGCGTCGTGGTTGGAATAATGATTGCACTAGAAAATACCGGTTGTGGCATTATGAATAATTGTAATGTTTACAGAACCACTTTCCTACGCGATTTTGAACCTTTTCTCATTTGCATGTGAAAGAGCTTAGTTAGAACCCCTCATTCTTAAAAAGATGGCTGTCGGCTTGGAAGGCTTTGAAAACAAAGTCAAAATCCGGCCTACGCGTCACTCGCGCCATCCGTCGTCGGCTGCCGCCGCAGTATCTCCCATACGTCTCTTCACACAGGCGGCGGAAAATGAGCGCGTTGTGAGAACACATTAGATTAACAACACGATGGCTCGCATAAACGTAAAATTCGACTCAGTGCGCCAGTGACCCAGTTTAACTTACCCTAACTCATCATTTTTTGCTTAATGAAGCGACCGCTACTTCTCTCTCAATGCCTGAAGTGCCCGGTGCTCAATCCCGGACAATAACGGTCTGAGCACTCACTGTGGTTACTCTGGGAGCATGAAGTATCCTTTTGAGAGCCTTGGCCATAGCCAATCTGATGCTAAGCTCATCCTCTTTCCGAAATACTTCTCCTTTTGTTGAGAAGAAACATACCGTCTGCACGTTATCCTCACCCTGCAAGAACTGGCATAGCCTCTCAACAGAGAGAATGTGCTCGGAATGCGGGCACGGCAGACTAGCACTGGCAGCAACCCTTTTCAAGGTTTCTCAACCCCGTCGCAATAGTTCTTCCCATGGGATATGGCAACGTAATTCCACTTGCACTTCACACTAGTCTTCATGAAAGCAATTATTCAAAGAAGTGGGCCTGTTCTTGCACCGCGCAGCTGATCCATCTGAAAAGTGATGATTTTTCCATATTTAAAACGAGGCTTTTCACTTCCAGTAAGGGGCACTGTAGAAATGTATGGACCGCAATAGTGTTATATTTTATCGTGTCTGAGGGCGCGCAAAAAATGCATGCATAAATTGTCCAGGCTCTGGTCAATATACCACGAAAGGATGCAGCATGCATTGCGGTGTATCCCAATAAACATGCTGAACTTCGCCATGGAGGACAAACGTGTAGTCTTCTGAAATATCTAAAATAATAAAAGCTTCGTTTTCGGGAAGCCCTTAAAAATGCAATCGAAAAGATTACCCTGGTGCTGGGCCGTTAAGTGGTGTCTGGTCAGTGCAACTCAGGCTTCTGACAATTTGGTAAAAAACTCACCCGCTGGCAGACCCAATTCATTTCAAGTGCAGCGGTCGTTGCTTACCCCCTGGCTAAATTTGATTCATTCATTGAATCGAGAATGTCCTTCGCTTACGCATTGAGTGCGTCAATAAAAAAAAACAATTGTGCACCATTTCAAACGCAATTCTCACACTCCTGCATTATGCTGGATCCCCTATGAACATCACACACGGCGTGACTCAGTAAGTCCTTTTAAGTGACATCTCACTGGTTAAGATATCCAACTATCAGCTTGGCGTTCTGGTAATAACAGCACACGCAAACAACATCCATGAGAGGTGTCACGCAAACCGCGTGAGTGTCGCTGGTACCCATCAGGACGCAATGTTTGCGGTATAATGGTCTAATGTTTCCATACAATTTTCTCTAAACCATGTTTCAAATTTTCGTAGCATTTATTACGCACGCATTTTCCCAACTTAGTGCGTTGTAAACATCACAGATAACGCCCGTTGGAAAAACGACAATGCAAATGGAAGGTGTAACTTTCAAAGTGGTGAGCAGGGACTCCAGTGAGATTTGTCCCGCAGAAGTGGCTACTTCAAGTCGAAGTTCTAAGTCATTCAAAAGGCTTTCGAAAACTGACACTTCCACTCAAATCGGAAGTGGTTGTTTTAACAATAAATAAAAGTGCAAAAAGATGGCATACTTCTTCAAGCCTCGTCATGCTCTCGTTTTGCTTCCCGAATGGATCGGCTAAACTGGGGAGATTGGGGCGTTTAATTGTCTCAAGACACTGTCAATACCACTCCGCGCTCTCGCCGCACAGCAGGTACTGGCCCAAGGCCCTATCATTGGGCCTTTGTCCTACTTCTGAGTCACTCTACATGAACGAGAGACGGCACCACTCTCGCGGTGCGCACTCACTCCCCCATCCCCCTCCAGCTGCAATTACCTCGGCCCAAACAGTACACATGAGGGGAGGGGCGGGGGGATTGGGGGCAACCGGCTGCGGTGGTGCGCCGCGCGCCATTCTTCGTGCGCCACGTATGATTCGTTGGTGTATGGACCATGTCTTTCCAAGCATGTAACCACCTTTACTATGAAAGCGCAAAGAGGATCAAACCACGCATTTTCTCTTGCAAATGAGAAAAGATCAATATCTTATAGGACAATTGTGCTTCGTGCCTCGCGAAGCTTCATTACGCCCTGATTATTCCTTATTGCGCGATGTCAATTCCGAGAGCGGCATGCAAATATTTAAGACAGTTTTTTGACCATTTTAACGTATAGGTTTGCCTAACTGTTCTTCAAGCAGGTGGAAAAAAATGCCGCCGAAGATAGCTCCGAGGGTGTACGGCGCTTGTCGATTTATCGGAGAATGTCCCAACTTCTTGTTCTGGCGCATATAATGTCAGCAAGTGGGTGTGTCTGGAGTGAAAAATGTGGTTGATGGGCCGTTGGGATTTTTTTAGGGAAATTGACCTTGCGGGGCGGGTTGGGTACTCCAACTCTCAAAAAGTGGTAGTTTTACTAGCAGCTAGCGCCATCTTTCTGCCATTTCGGTACGCACTAGCAGCAGACGCAGGTCGTCGCGTATGGAATACCCGCCAGGGGCGCAGTCGAGACTTGACAAGAGGGCAGAGTTGACGAAAAGCTCCCTGATCATGAAGCCCCCCCCCCCCTCCAAGAAAAATCGCCGGATATGAGCCGCTTGTTAATAGGGGTGTGTTTTACTTTGATCTTTTTTCATTTTTACCCCCCATAACTGGAACAGAAGCAGAAGCAAGTCGCCAACAAGCTGAAGAAATCGTGCGTAAAACGACTGTATTATGGAATTTTGCATTATGAAATTTTCAATTATGGAATAGATCGCTGACGCTCTTCATTTCACAATGGTCGAACGATCGTTTCCTAAACCAATAAAACTCAGAACCACTGCCAGAATTTTTACCCGCGTTGTACAGGAGACACTAACCTTCGCTCTCATACCCCTATCAGGGTTGGTGCAACTCCCCCTTCGGTTTTTTGAGGGGACCGTTCCGATATGCTGTGCAATCGCGCCGAAATCAGTAGCTTATGTAATAACTTCAGGGGTCCCCGATCGGCGCGAATGGGCCTCCGTCATTTGAGAATTTATCTCGCAGTCCGGGGCCCCTAAATAAGACTCTACCCAGCCATTCACGCCCTTAGGCCCTAAAATCGGGCCCTCGATCGTCGGTCTTGGTGAGCCCTCCCGGCTCTACGGGTCTCTCAAACACCGCTTCTGGCCGACTCTGGCTTCTTGGCAACACAGGGCCATCCGTTGGACGGTGAGGCCCTAAGACGTTGGGGCTCCGACCGATGTAAATTGCTGGCTCCGGCTTTGACCCTGCTCGGCAAATGATCCATTAGGCCTGTGCCGACACGAAGTCGACTGAGCTTTACTGGTGGTGTATGACCGACATATATAGACTTTGAGCAAATCAGAGGGCCCTGGTGACATTGGAGTACCCAGCCCTACGGGCCGGGGCCATGAACACGACCTTTAGCATCCCTTAGGGCCCTTCAGGCCCTCGAACCAGGCCCTTAATTGTAGGTCCCAAGGAGCCCGAAGAGACCCTCGAGACCCAAGGGGGATTAAGGGGGGAGGGGGCACGTATTGTCGGCCTTCCATTTGTCAGTACTGAACAATCGAACGATAGCCACAAGTTACCTCCAGGGACAACTAATCACACCCCGCACCATGACGGAAAACTAGGAGCGCATCCAAGCAATTCCTGGGCTTTGATTTGACAGCGTACTGATTCTGTGTATATCAAAGAAGGTCGCTGCATGCACGATTTGCGTTTCTACGCTGTCTCACTGTCTCACCAACCCGGTGACCATTAACTTTGATCATAACTGGGCTGAGCACACTTTGCCAAATCGGCCAACTAAATGATCTGTTTCATCATGGGAAGGGTATCACGAATTATTTTATACGACGAGTGAAATCCATCTTATTGTGAACGGATATGATATAGAGCTCGGTTCATCAACCCCGTTTATTAGCACTGTTCCAATCCCAATTCAGCACATAGCAAACAACGGTAACGCATAACCGCCCTCGGACGTACCAAACACCCCAGGCCCATGGGTAACAGCTGCCCAAAGCAGCCACCCCTCTCCAGTCACACATCTAACGCGACTGACGTGCGCGCCGGCTCACTTGTCCCACACATCACCGTACTTGTTAGTGGGCGGGCCGCCCATCGGCGGCGGCGGCCGCTCCCGCTCGAGCGGCGGCGGCGGCTCCGGCGGCCCCGAGCCGCGGCGCAGCCGGCTCTCCACGCTGGCCCGGTTGGCCCGGCGCAGCTCCTCGTACGTGGTCTGGGTCTGCGCCGGCTGCAGGTCGTCCGTGGAGAGCGGCGCACCGGCGCCCGGCGTGTCCACCGTCGGCCGGTAGTAGTCGTCGAGCCCGTCAGCGCGCGGCGGCAGCGCCCAGTCAGCGCGCGCCTCGGCGCCGGTGTCCGGCGTCGGCGCGTCGGCCGACAGCTCGGCGAAGCCCGGCTCAGGGAGGCCGCCGGCGCGCTGCTGGCGCAGCATCCGCCCCACCGGGCTGTTGGGCAGCGCCATCAGCTTCTCCTTGCACACCTCCAGGTAGGAGATCTTGCCGATGAAATAGCCGACCACGCCGGCGGCGGCCACTTTGGGGGCCGGGCCGAGCGTCTTCGACGGTCGCCAGCGGCCAGAGCGGATCATGTACAGCGTGCCGGCCATCATGAGGCACGAGACCGGCACGCTGCGCCGGTAGAAGCTCTCCTGGTTGCACTCGCGCAGCACGCGCGCCTCCTCCTGCGTGAGCCGCGGCGACTGCGGCGGGCCGCCGCGCTGCTCGCGGCCGGCCATGCCGGGCGGAGGTGACGGGCGGCCGGCCGCCTCTCCACAGCACCTGAGAGCAGCAGACAAGCCAGACTTGTGGCACCATGGCAGCACCTCCTGCCCTGCGTGCCAAACATTGGTGCGGACATGGCAGAACATCCAGCCAGTCATGTTCCAGGCAGCATGGTTAGGACTGCTGGAACTGAAACACTCCCAGGGCACTGTGAATAGCAAGTCATGGATTTAACCATGAGTGGTTAAATGCTTTGGAAGAACTACATGAAAAACAAACCAACACAAATATTATGTCAATGTCTTCAAGTTCAAATGGCATGCAAAACATATCGTTTAAGGGGGAAAATTTGCCAGGAAACTGCTAGGAGATGGAATAACTAGCTTTTTATTTGGACTGGACTTGGGAAAATGTACATGAGATAAAGCATTTAACAGATTTGACACACACACATTTGACACACACCACTGCAACACTAGAGCGCAACTTTTACAACTTTGCTTGGGTGAGATTCCACTTGATTTTCATTGTAAAATGCACATATGTTGCATATTTACTTACAGAGCATGATTTCTAGCCCTCTTTTCCATGCAAACCCTGAATTACTCACTTGCTGCAAATTGAGATTTTGTTGTTGATAAACCTCTATTAAATAGGACATCTTAAGGTGAACTGTAAGTTCCCACCTAAGGATCATAAACAATATCCATGTTAATATCAAGAAAATAGCAATGTTTTGCCAATTTACTGTCTGCTGACATATCCATAAATGTATTCATATATCTAGATATTTGTGCTAATTTAGGGATCTCTGAAGCATACCATTGCTAGCACAAGACTAAATATATTTTCATGTTGAACCATTAGGTAGGTGAGTACATGTTATTCATGCCCTGACAGCCTTATGCAAAATGTGGTGGTTCACCCACCACCAACTCGCAGCCTCCCATCTCATTAAATGCTTCTGTGCAAAACTGATTCCAGGCCCTTGACTAGATGTACACTACAGAAACTAGGTGTTAACTGCAGTAACCACATATAACCAGCACAGTAAATTAGTAAGGTTCTCAACACCTTTCCTAGGTAAAAGCTGTTCTTGGTCTCCACAGAAGTTTCCAAGATGGCCCACTTCCAAAAAGGTATCACTTTCATAAACTGGTGAGGGGGAAGTGCAGCTGAGAATATGGACCTAACCTGCACACAAAACCTGATTTTTCCCCATATTTCAAGAACTTGGACTTGCGCTCTTGATGTTAAAAATTCTCAATTTAAACAATAGCTGATCAATCTTTTATGAATGCTTAGAATGTGGTTTAGATAAATTTCAGTATGGGATCACTGATGAACGCCTTGGTCTATTATCATGTCTTTGTCTACCATAGCCACAATTATGAGACAAATGCACTTGCCAACATTGCAGAATACACTAACTTAATCCTATACTTTTAAAAGCTCCTGCATATCAGTCACTTGCATTTTACCCCTTCCAGGCATGACCATATGTGTAACATTTGCAGCATAAGGTAGTAGGTACCTTTAGGGTGGTGTTTGGTACAAAATAAGCGTGATGCTAATAGCAAACTGTCGTACGTGCGTACCTATTACATCGCATTCCGATAGATAAGACAATTACTCTACATTTTGTCCAGCATTTCCTCTTTGCTCAAATGCATCATGGCGCTCAAGGAAACAATAAAGGGAGCTCATGTCAGCATTGGGGGCGCTCATGTCAAAATTGGGGGAACGGGAATCACGTCAGTTTTAAGGGCTCTGCCCCCTCCCCTCCGGACGTATACGAAGTGATGTCGTTGCTCCCAGCTCAACACACTGCTTGATGGCCAATCACACACTTCTGGCACTACCTAATGTTACCTTACTGTGGAGATTGCACGCCCACTCAGTACAAATCCTACTTACGTAAACTACGTAGGCAGCCGATTCTATCACCGCAAATCAGAACAACATGGTGCAACCCGACAAGAGTTGTGGTGTAAGCAGTGTGAGGGCTGTGGCGAGGGGTGTCGTAACGCAGGACAGTTTGGAATCTTGTACAAAGCAAGTTAAAGCTGTTTATACTAGCCAATTTGAACCATTTGAAGGTAACAAAAATAGCTAGCACTAATCAATCGACACTTATTCAGCATTTGCTCACATTCAGCACTTGAATTGTCCAGATGAATCTGCTCATGATTTGTGCGACATATGTGGACTTCTTGAGACTTACATGGATACCTACAATGGTATATAACGCTTCGAGCACTATTTTAGCTATTACCTTGGCAGGGACTGGCGCCGGGCAGCCCAAGTGGGCTTCAGTGTGACCACACAGGTGCGAACAGGACTGAATATTGCCGCAAATCGTGTCTTCGCAGGAGGCGGCTGTTCTCGTGAGAGTGTTTGGCAGTGACTTACCGTTTTCTTTAGATTATGAGGATGACCAGTGTGTGTGTGGACCATATTCTTGAGAAGTCATGTTACGTGCAATAACAGCTTTTGGAATTGGTAAAGGCACCTCTACTCAGTGTAAGCTGAATTTCAAAATTATTTCTTCTATCGAAGAAGGCTGACCTAACCTCTTGGCTGCATGCTTCATCAGGACTAAGTTAAAGGCAGTAAAAGGCAGTAAGGCAGTAACAGGCAAGCTCCCTTGTAATGTAAGAGAGCTTGCCTGTTTTTATCTGTGTTAATGTGTGTTGTAAATGTTGATTTTTGAATTGGAGTCATTTATATTTTGCAAATTTTTACCATGTTTTTTCCTGCTATCTGATATCCCAGCTACATCATTATGCTTCAAAACAGGGTCTATTCATGTGCAGAGTAGACAATCAGTATTATTGTCATCAGCTGGCATGTAAATGCATGCTGTGGATGCAGCACTCCACCATGAAAAGTTGTGCCTTGTTTGTAGACTGTGCTTGACACATTGAGGGAATTTGATATGAAGAGAGACACATGACTTACCCATTCATTACAACGTGCATGCAGACTTACAATGTTGATGGCATGATTTTTGGAAGAAACAATGTCTATTACCATGGGTGTCACTTTTCCAGCTAATTACAGACAGTTTGTTATTTTTTAGACCTTAAAGTTATGGGTGTCTTTTTGGAGAATGCCTGAGGGCAGTGTGACATGGTTGCATTGGGGATAGTAGGCACATGTACTGGAACTGATGCTAAGCCTGCATAAATACCCATGCAGCCTTGATAGGTGGGTGTTAGAGTCAGGCAGAGCGGCGTGGCTGGCTGTTAGGAAACAAGCTCATTGGATGTTACGTCAGCATTTCCTGTACTGGATGCATGCCATATAGGCTATACCTCACTTAGTAGGAATTATTGCCAAGCATTGCTATTTACTGAATCAGGCACATCTGTTCTTGGAGTTGACCTTTAACTGTCAAATGGATGCATGAGATGTCATGAGGGTGATGCCAGACATCTCTGACAAAATTGTTGTATGCTTGCAATATTTATGTGAATTAATGCAGTTTATTTGATAATGGCATTCAAAAATATATATTTAATGAGAATGGAGAAAGCTCTGTTGCTTCTGTGATTTACTGGTAGCTGATACAGAATAGACCAACAGCCAGTAAATATGCAGTCCGGTACAAGCATGTATGTTATTGGATTAAACATTGTTTCTACCTGATGATAAAATGTCAGTTTGTAAGATTAAAGAACAAGATGTCTTGGTTCACTTTATTTACATTATCAACATGAACATGCCCACTAGATTGAAAAGTAATGCATTTTGATACAGCCATGTGATGCAACTCCTATGTCCTGCCCTTGGATATTGCCTGTGCTTCAGGTCATGATTCACAGCTCTTGATTCACAGATTGCTGGCAGGCCGACACAGCATCTCTTGGTTTGGCTGCAGTGATTCGGTGACTGCCATGACGGAGCAGGCCGCGCCGTCCGGCAGCTGCCTTAGCGCTGGCCGGCTGCCGGTGGTGGCCTCCGAGCGACACTCGGTCTTCTACGAGCTGCCGCCGGCCGACACCAGCGCCGACCAGGCGCCGAGCCCCGCCGGCGACGGCGCCGACCTCTGGGACGAATGGCACGTGCGGTTGCCGTGCTCGCCACAGAGCCTGTACCCGGTCCGCCAGCCAGACGGCCAGATGAAGCTGGTCAAACGCTGGACCATGGTCCAGGTGGGTCGATGTGGGGTCGCAGAGGGGGTACCCGGTCGAGCCACAGAGCCTATACCGGGTCCGCCAGCCAGATGGTTAGATGAGGCTGGTCAAACGCTGGTCCGTGGTCCAGGTGGGTCGAGGTGGGGTCACAGGGGGGGTACCCGGTGGAGCCACAGAGCCTGTACCAGGTCCGCCAGCCGGACGGCCGGATGAAGCTGGTCAAATGTTGGTCCATGGTCCAGGTGGGTCGAGGTGGGGTCACAGAGGGGGTACCCGGTGGAGCCACAGAGCCTGTACCGGGTCCACCAGCCGGACGGCCGGATGAAGCTGGTCAAATGTTGGTCCGTGGTCCAGGTGGGTCGAGGTGGGGTCACAGAGGGGGTACCCGGTGGAGCCACAGAGCCTGTACCAGGTCCGCCAGCCGGACGGCCGGATGAAGCTGGTCAAATGTTGGTCCGTGGTCCAGGTGGGTCGAGGTGGGGTCACAGAGGGGGTACCCGGTCGAGCCACAGAGCCTGTACCAGGTCCGCCAGCCGGACGGCCGGATGAAGCTGGTCAAATGTTGGTCCGTGGTCCAGGTGGGTCGAGGTGGGGTCACAGAGGGGGTACCCGGTCGAGCCACAGAGCCTGTACCAGGTCCGCCAGCCGGACGGCCGGATGAAGCTGGTCAAATGTTGGTCCGTGGTCCAGGTGGGTCGAGGTGGGGTCACAGAGGGGGTACCCGGTCGAGCCACAGAGTCTGTACTGGGTCCGCCAGCCAGGTGGTCTGATGAAGCTGGTCAAATGCTGGTCCATGATCCAGTAGGGTGGAGGTGGAGTCCTGAAGGGGCTGGAGCACACTGGTTGACCCATTGTGGTATTCACTGGTTGGGGTTATGCAGTGTGAGGAATTGTGAGGTTCAGGCTGAAGATGTCACTCGCATGACGTGAATGTAGTTTCCAGTTTGCAGGCAGTGTATGTGATCAGCAGTTTGCCCTTTGAGCCCTTATGCAGGCTCTTGTGTGTGTGTAATTTTATGAAATTGTTATGACGTTTGAGGTGTGCCATTTATGACATTCTGAATGCACCCCATTTGAACTTCTTTGCCTGTGACACTTTTCTGTTCGTACGCCAGGATGCTCTTTTGGCTGACTTCAATTCTTCATCGGATTTGGAGAGGGCAATCAAGTCGTACAACTCTCGGTATCAAGATAAGTGGAACTTCTCAGGCCTGAGGTACTTCATTGACGAGGTAAGAGTTTCTGGCACACAGTACAGATGTGCAGATTGTTGGCCGCTCTGACCTGAAATTTTCAAAACAAAAACAGAGCCAGCCCTAAACTGCTTCTGAGTTATCTGTCTTTCGGGTCTTACTGATTTATGAAGTCACATGTCTTCTAATTTAGGATAACTATGGAATCTTGCCCTCGTGTACGCATGTCCTCACTGACCCTTGCAGTGAGGTGTAGTTGTGGAGACCAGCGTGTTGCACAGGAGCCGGGCGAGCGGCTTCTCGTGAGTAGCTACCGACCCAACTTTGAATGCTTGATACTAGCCTACCGGTACTTTTCGTGGCTGTGGCGGAAAGCAACTAAATAACTATTTTAGCCCCTCCATGGTTTTTTTTCGGTTGGGTTCCATGTGGTCTGATTTAAGATATACTGTTTAGCACCATGTCACATATGTGTGCACGACAAGGAACCATTTTTCACAAAATTTTCACAGAGTGAGTGTCCGATAGTTGTGGGCAATCTGGATTTCGAATTGGCGCCCGAATATTCTCCTAGGCCCGCCATTCACCTGGTTGGAATGACTCCAGTGAACGATGAAATAAATATATCAAATGACCAAATGATTATCACAAACGTGTGTGCCCCTGAACCTGACCCCGAAGTCCCTAGACATCACCGGAGCATTATCGGTGTTGTGCTTATACTCCGCCACGCACATATTTCCCCACGCAAATTTTCACGACACATTACCCCGCCACATCTTGACTAAGGTGCTATTCGCTGTTGGCTGTCTCCTCGCCAGCCGGGCCCGGCCCTTAGTCCGCCTCGGCGCCTCCGGCGCTGGCTGGCAAGGAGCCCTCACCACCCGGTCTGGCTGACGCGCGTGCCCCGGCGCCGCCGACGCTGGCTGACCAGGAGCCCCCCGCCAGCCGGTCTGGCTGACGCGCGTGCCCCGGCGCCGCCGACGCTGGCTGACCAGGAGCCCCCCGCCAGCCGGTCTGGCTGACGCGCGTGCCCCGGCGCCGCCAACGCTGGCTGACCAGGAGCCCCCCGCCAGCTGGTCTGGCTGACGCGCGTGCCGTTTCCGCAGGTGCTGTGTGACCGGGAACGGGACCACCTGCTGCGAACGACCCTGCCGCGGCTGGCGCGGCTGGCGCTCCGACTGCCGGAGGTGCTGCGCCAGCCGGTGCCGCTGCTCTCCCGGCGCCGCGCGCACTCGCTCTCCTTCTCGCAGCTGCAGGTGGCCGCTCTGCTGGCCAACGCCTTCTTCTGCACGTTCCCGCGCCGGAACGCGGTCAAGCGCGGCGACCGACAGGCCGAGTACAGGTCAGGTGGCGTGGGGGGAGGGGAGGGGAGGGGGGGGGGGCGAGCACAGTATGGGCGCCATATGGCCAACGTAGTCTGTGCGCCCCAAAGCCCAAGTAATCATCATCCTCAGGGGCGAGCACAGGTCAGCCGACACGGGCCGGTAGGTACAAGTCAGTGCGGTGATGTGAATGGGGGTGTATTGTTGATTGTTTAACTAAATTGGTCGTTGTATGTTTGTCACTGCTCCGTCTGCAGATGTCTGTCTGCAGATTTTTTTCTGTTTTGTCTTGCCCACAGCATGTGCTTGGCCGTGAGAGATGGTTTCGTTCACTGAGTCCGGTTGTAAATTTTGCGTACTCGCTTGCATTTGAATCAAAAAGACATGCCGCCTGAGCGGCGCTCCGATACCTTGAATGTGCCTAGCTCACCTAACGCATCCTGAGGCGTGGAAGCGCCAGCGTCTCGTTCGCCCCATCCCCCTCCCTGCCCGTGCGTCGGACGGTCCGTGACGCCGTCACCTGTCGGCCAGCTCGTACCCGGACATCAACTTCAACCGGCTGTACGCGGGCAGCAAGAGCCGCGGCACCGCCGGTCAGCTCTCACCGCGGCGCATCGAGAAGCTCAAGTGCCTGATGCACTACTTCCACCGCGTGCTGGAGCGCGAGCCCACCGGCGCCGTCACGTTCTCACGCCGCTACCTGAGCGAGCCGCAGCTGCCTGCCTGGGCCGGCTCGAGCGTGCCGCTCGGCGCCATGTGCTGCCAGAGTGACGGTCTGATCGAGGACCAGGAGGGCATGCTGCAGGTGCGTGCCGCCGGTCGGCCGGGACGCACGCGCGCACGCACTCACTCACTCACTCACTCACTCACGCACGCACGCACGCACGCACGCACGCACGCACGCACGCACGCACGCACGCACGTACGCACGCACGCACGCACTCACGCACGCAGCACGCACGCACGCACGTACGCACGCTGCGCTCGGCACCGCCGCTGCGATAAGCGAGCTGAGGGGCGAAGCTTTCGTTGCGTCCCGTCGACAGGTCTCTGATCATTGCTGGGCCGTTGAACGACACTTGTCACTTGCAGGCTCGTTAGCGTCGCCACCCCTGATGAAGGGCCCTACTAGCACGAGGTTAAAAGAGCGTCCCATCGTTGGTGCACTGTTCAAAAACATGATATGGTGCAAGCTTAAGACCAGTCACGCCCAAACATAGCACTGGGCAGTGCCACTGCAGCACCATCATCACATGACGATGATATTAATTCGAATTACTTTCGAAACCAAGTTACGGTATCGATGCTTTTTAACAGCACTGCACTTCTTCCTTCCTTGGTAGCCCTAGAGTGTGTCCCGATTCCGCGACATTTGCAGTTGTCGCCACTGCCGTCGTCATAACAACGGCTGTTGAGGCTGACGTTATGACGACGCTGTTGAGGGCCAATGTCAGCCATAGTTAGAGCTAGAGAGGAAGTTAGAGTTAGTTCTTTCAGTCAGTTGGAGGTACCGCTTTTGAGCTACTATAACCGACACGTTGTGGGCCTACAGGCTAGGAATTGTCACCTTTACTGGTAGGAATGACGTCAGTACAAGTGAACGTTTGTGATTGGCACAGCGGGCGGCAAGGACCAGTTGCCGAGAAGCGCTTTGATTGTAGCGTGAACCCGTGTGCCACCATAGACCATGTGATACTCCCTGTTCCAAAGTCAAAGTGCGGTTCGAAAATAGCCGTTTTGGTAAACGCCACAGGGGAGAAGTAAATGCCATAGTATAGCGTTTCGTCAAGTTCGCGAGATAATAGCCTCATGTTTGCATATATTTTTCTTTAAACGGGGTGCTTCAAGCTTTCGTGGCATGTATAACACAAGCATTCAGACAAATTAGATGTTGCAAACAGTACAGAACGCAGCCTTTGGAAAACCAGGGCAAATATATTGTGATACTTTCATAGTAATGAGGAGGGGTCCAGTCAGGTTTCTCCAGCATGAGTGGCCGCTTCAAATCGAAATTCTGTGCTTTTCAGAATAATTGGGAGAAAACTAGTACTAGCGATCAAATGGGACGTTTCGGATGGTATAAGTGAGAACTACAAAAAGCGGCCTGCTCCCTTTAAGAAGAGTATGCCACCATTTAAGGAATAAGTGTTAAGTGAAACCTTCACGGCGAATTAAGTTTACTTCGATTTAACGGCACTGTATTTTATTTACGCCAGTAGAGATGCCACGGCATTTGTCATGACGACGGCACTCGGTACTGCAGGGAAAAGCGTAGTGCTGTTACAAGGCGTGAACAGCGTAATTTGGACTCGGAAGATAATTAGACTCGATATGCTGATCGACGGTGCTGGTCTGACACTACCCAGTGTTTTTATTAGACGTAACCGTTTCTGAGGTTTCACTAGGTTATGTTCTTGAAATCTGGCCCAGAGGTGGGTCACCCCCCAATACGGGGGCTCTCGCTCTGGGGACTGACGCCGTGTTCGCCCGGCCACATTCGCGTCCGGTCGACAGGTGGACTTCGCCAACAAGTTCGTGGGTGGCGGCGTGCTCGGCGACGGCTGTGTGCAGGAGGAGATCCGCTTCCTCATCAACCCGGAGCTGATTGTCTCCCGGCTGTTCACCGAGGTAACCGCCTCCGCGTCCTGGCGTCAGCCGCACTCACCGCGGACGCGGCGCGCAGGCAGACTGGCGGTGTGTGAGAGGATGTGTGGCGTCCTGCACGGACGTGATGCTTAAGTAACCAGTTGTGTTGTGGCTAGTTATGTGACGGACATATATTTCCGCGGTAGTGCTGATTCAGGTCAGCACAGGCCTGCATGGAACACAGTGTGCGCACGTATGGGAGACATGTGTGCGTATCAAGTGGGCGAACTTGAAGGCGAAGTGAAATACGTCCATCTCCGTTTTAGCCGTTGAATTACATAAAACAGGTCGACAAGTGTTTGACTTGCTGGCGCCCATCGTGCCGCTACTTCAGCGCCGCGCGCGGCACCGTCTCCACGCTACGAGTGAGTCTGGCGCGGCGGCAGGCGTGTGTCATGGACCGACGCCCGATGGGCGACCCGACCTCATCATCTGATGGGCGGCAGGTGCTGGACAAGACCGAGTGTCTGGAGGTCACCGGCTGCGAGCGGTTCAGTCAGTTCGAGGGCTACGCCGACACGTTCCGCTGGGTGGCCAAGGCGGAGGACCCGAGCCCCAGGGACGACTACTGCCGCAGGAGGACGCAGGTGGTCGCGCTGGACGCCTTTCACTTCTTCCAGGTGGGTGGGCGCCCGCGCACGCCGGGTGGACGGGGAGCGCACCCGGTGCCGCGGAGCACGAGTCGTCACCCCTGACGGCGGCTTATGTGCTGCGCGTCACCGGCCCAAGGGGACGTCAGGAACACGCGGCGGGTACACGGAGCTAACCAAATGAAGTCGACAGTCGTTATGCTATATTTGATGTTCCGGCCTGTTGTATCACGGATGGCGTCTGGTATGACACCTCAGGGCGTCGCCGAGACTGGGTGACCCGGGGTCTGACTTCCCTTATGCATTGCGAACAGGTAAATGCTGCTAGAGTGGTGTCATTTCAATGGTATTAATTGGTATGCGTCTAAAATGCGAATTGTAACCCATTACATGCCATTACATGACTACGGCTCACTCTAACCACTTCGAATCGGCCATTTTGGTGTTGCCGCCTTATTGCACGTAAAACAGGAAATGAAAGTAACAATAATGCTATATATATAATAAAAACAATAATGCTAATAATGCTAACCTGAAAATACACATGACCACATAACATTTTAAGTCAGTACAGTTACTCACGCTTTGTGGACGCGTCCCGGGCACAGCGTGGTCGGATCACATTCTGAGCGGCACCACGAGAGCCGCCCGCCTTCAAACACCCCGCGGCACCACGAACGCCATCACGAGCGCCATCTCTCGCCACCATCTCGCGCCACGAACAGCGCGTTTTATGCTGTGAGCCACCTACCATTGAAGCGGTGTCGTCCTACAGGGGCGGTCACACACATTATGTTGGATTCGGATGACCTAGGCGTTCCGCGCTATGCTGTAGGATGGAACGATGTCGTTGCAATTCAGTTATTTACACAAGGCTTTATCATTTCTGTTTTAGTCATGCAGCGTTTCGTACATCTGCATGTTGCATGCATTTTAAAGCAAAGTCGGGCCGTGTGCTTGTCGTTGAAGTATCGGAACATCGATGTTGTGAGAACCAGCTGGAACCAAGGTCAGGCTCCGTCCGCCCTGCTACTCCGGGGTCAGGCATACTCCGCCCTCCACTCTGAGGTCAGGTACACTCCGCTCTGCCGCCTCGACGCCCACCTTCGCACGAGTTTGGAAATATCGCCGCTCGTTCCAGGCTAGTCGGCAATATGAGGAGGGATTCCTGCTGCGGGAGCTGAACAAGGCGTACGTCGGCTTCCACTTCGAGGACCAGACCGGTCTTCCGCCGGTGGCCACCGGCAACTGGGGCTGCGGCGCTTTCAACGGCGATCCGCGACTCAAAGGTGCGGCGACGAGGTCTGGCGCGCGTGCGGCAGATGCCGGCCCGTAGCCGCACGCTCGCGCTGGCATGGATAGGAATGCGAGGGGGTGAATAGATCGCATGAGAACTGGGGATATGTGGGGAGATTAGGATCCATGGATCAGTGGATATGTTTGTATGTGGCTGGAGCTGTAGCATCGTGATGCCGTGCCGTTGTTGGAGTGTTAATAAGTGATGCATGATATAATCTAAGCAGTGTGCCTGAGCTTTGATATGGTAAACATATGCTGCTCTTATGATGCCACTGGAGGAGCACTAGTTCGCTCAAATTGGCATGTATCCGTGGGTGGAAACGCATTCCAGTGAGTCGACTTTTGAGGGTTACCGGCGTGTGTGATCTGCAGACGTTCTTACTCCTCTGCCATGCGAGTTCTCAGCCAGATCTTCCACGGGGTCGCATGAAGCTGCTGCCCAGGGGCAATGTCTTGGGTCCGCTGCGCCGTGCCGTGGACGTTTGCGGGGCCGGATCCTCCCGATGTACTTACCTTCCCTCGTCCTGTGTCGGCCGCCCGCAGCGGACGATGGCGGTGAATCCGCCCTGACCTCACATGACCTTACAATCCTGGGTGTGTGTCGGCAGCTCTGCTTCAGATGATGGCGGCCTCATTGACCTGACCTGACCTTACACTCCTGGGTGTGTGTCGGCAGCTCTGTTTCAGATGATGGCGGCCGCCTTGACCTGACCTGACCTTACACTCCTGGGTTTTGCCGGCAGCTCTGCTGCAGACGATGGCGGCCGCCCTCACGGGCCGGGACCTGACCTACCTGACCTTCGGCGACCTGACGCTGCGGGATGACCTGCGCGAGGTGCACGCCTTCCTGCGGCAGCGGGCTGTCACGGTCGGCCAGCTCTACAGGTCCGTCTGGACACGGCCGCCCGCCGCCGTCCTCCACACGCCCCACAGTCCAGCAGGACATATGGCAGGACACGCGACAGTCTCAGTCCCTGGCGAGGGAGGGGGGGGGGGATGGGTCCACCTATGCAGGCTCGCACGAGAACGTATGGGGCTGACCGCGCACATGTAATTTTAAAATGACAACATATTGTGCGTTCAGATGTTATTGCATTTCTATTTTGGGTATCATTTTGTGGAAGCGTCTTTAAGGTTTTGCATTTTGCATTTGTTTTCAAGTTTATTTTTGCATGAGTGTCGGACCGTATGCCGGACAAGCGCCGGACAAAAGACCGTGTCCACGACACATGCTCCTGGGTGCCCCTCCCCCCCCCCCCCCTCATGCCCCCATCCCTCGCTCGCTCGGCTTCTACAGCTGACGCTGCGTATGAACTTCTCGACGTCAGATGGAGACACTGCCGTTGTCGGGTGTCACGTCTCCGTGGACGAGCAGCATGACGTGACTATCCGTCGGTACCGGCGTGCGCGTGAGAGCCGGAGCGGCTCGTGACGGGCGTGACGTAGCGTGACGCGGCGTGACGTGTCGCCCAGGGCGCTGGCGGTGTACGGCCGGCTGCACGGCGGCCGCCAGAGCCGACCGGAAGTGCTCAGCTTCCTGCACAGCCACATCGGCGGCGACGAGTACGGCTCGGACACGGACCTGGAGCGCGAGGGTGCGTCCCGCCACTGGCGGCTTCGCCGGCGCCGGCAGTGGGCCGGTGGCGGCCGGTGACGATGGCGATGGCGGCGTGCCCGTACAACGCCACGCGTTCTGGCAGAACAGTGTTTCGATGCTGGCTGCTCTGGGAGGACGGGATGACGGGGTTCGGGGGGGGGGGGGGGGCGGAGAGGGTTACGCGATCACTCTGCACCGCGTGCTGGTGAAGGGTTTTTCGGGTCTGGGTAGCAAGTCTGTATCTGGACGCCCCGTGTTTCCCCGTTGGGAAGGAAAGCCGCGATGCCCAATTACCCTCTGTTGCATGCGTTGTTAGCTTCGGCACGTCCTTAGACCTCAATCATCATCATAGCGTCCCAAACGGGCGTGTCATGGGATCGCGCGCTAGCACTGCTGGGAGGTAACCGGCGTGATGGCTTGCAGACTGGAGTCAGGAGGTGGAGATACTACCGGACACGGAGTCCGAGAACATCCCCGTAGACGACGGAGCCACACCGGAGGCGGTGAGTCGTCCCAACAGGCGCCATCTCTTGCCCGACCAAGTGCAGCGGGCCGGCGGGCTCACCGCGGCGCCGACTCCCCCGCTAGCCTCCCCGTACGCGCAGCGGACCGAGCTGGGCGCGGGTGCGGGACGAGGCTCGCTCGGCGGTCTGGCTGGCTTCCCTCGGGTTGTGTTCGCGTCACCAGGCCGGGCGGATGGCCACTGAGGCCGGAGTGTCGCAGTAGCCCAGTCCGCTTTAGCCCCCTCCCCTCCCCCCTTCTGGTCAACTGGGACCGGAGCGTCATCAGCCCTCCCCCTCCTCCCCTGAGTCGAGTGGAGCCGGAGCGCCATTTCATCATCAAATTGTCGCCACTGGAGGATAGGGGAGGGAAAACGCCAGGAGAGAAGCTGATTATCGTTGCGTATTGGAACTGAAAGCGCATTCGGACATATCGAAGTTTGCTGTGCTCAAAAGGCGCTAAACTAGCATCGCAGTGTGACTAAATGCATTTTGTGTAGCTCGCGTAAAAAGCGAGTCGCGCCCTAGCACGTTGTAAATGACATGCTTCCATAAAGCCTTGTCTTTGTTCGTCAACCTCCGGTTACGTTCTTTCGAGGACGATTGGTGTTCGGCTGCGCGAGCGGCTCCTGGAAAACATCGTTGCGTGACACGCCTTGACTACGTCACACCTTTCGTCTGAAAGAAATCACGTCACCGTGGGAGCGAGGCCTGTGGGTCCGGGATCGTTTGTTGTTCGGTCAGTAGAGTGTAACTTAAGCTCACCGGTCACGTCACGAGGGTGTTCCGGCAGCGTCTTACGCAGGCGAACAAGAGTGCCTTCGGAAGTAAGCAACCGGAAGTTGACTATGAATGGGAAGGCATGATTGTGATTCGCCTTACCAAAGAAAGGTGTCCCCCCAAATTACGTTCGCCTATTATTTCGCCCAAATAAATTCGCAAACTACGAAACGCGGTCAGTCAAGCCGTCTTAACTTTCGCTCCGCTTGAGTAGTTCTGATGTCGGATTTTGTACTAAGGAGTCTGTATAGAAATTAAGACGAAATAGGAAACCACATGATCGCCTATCGTTTGTTGTTCCGTCAGTGGAGTGAGACAGCACATAATCACGCAAGTGCCCAGTCCTATCTCACTAGTCACGAAGCCTCAATTACGTCATTGATTTGGTCTGTTAGGCAGTCTGCGCACGGGTCATGCTGTCTATCCCTGAGGTGTTGTCCTACTGTGCACAACGGGCTCGCACGTCCCGTCTGGTCCGGACCTGTCGTCGGGTGACCATTCGCTCCCCTGCGTGACAGACCGCCGCCGCCGCCGATGCCGCCGCCGTCTCGGAGTCGCCGGAGCCGGAGGATGCGGCTGCCAGCCCGCGGGACCGGTCGCAGAGCCCGCCGACGCCCGCCTGTGTGGCCGCTCAGGCTGACCTGCTGCTGGAGGCCGCCTTCAGCGACACGGACGGCTGTCACCTGGCCGCCCAGATGGCCGAGGCAGGACCGGCGGCGCGCGCCGCCGCCGGCGCCAAGCGTGTGCGCCGCGCTGACGCCGCCGGCGACGTCCAGCAGTTCGCCCACTTCGAGGTGGTGAGCGAGACGGCGCGGCAGCGGGCGACGACGCGGCAGACCAAGATCACAAACTTCATGAAGAAATGAGAGGACGACCGTCGCGTGCTGAGCCTGCGAACGTGCCGAAGGAGTACCGGCCTGATAACGCCGTGCCGCAGGAGTACCGGCCTGATAACGCCGGGTCGGAGGAGTACCGGCCTGATAACGCCGTGCCGAAGGAGTACCGGCCTGATAACGCCGGGTCGTGACCGACCCCTGTCACCTGTACGTGGGCGGCTGAGACGGCTTTTGGCATTGGAGGCGTAGTTAGCATAGAGGCGAGGTGGAGTTTACAGCGAGAAAGGAGAGATATATTCTGCCGGATTGCCGAATCCGCAGTTACCAGCTGACGGATTGGCCATCGCGTGCAGGGTCTGCTAATCAGCACCGCACAGTAAAACACCCCGCCGCGACACAGTGATTTGATCTGTTCACGCCTTGAGTGTGCCACTTGAACGTGCATTATTTAATGATATGATTGTGTGTGCGGCGGTAGCTAATTTTTGACACTGCGTTGCCTAATGTCTCGTTCTTGCATACCAATCTATATGTACTGTTGAATGACTGTACGCGATGGTCGATGAGTGATAACACCGCGCTGCTTCATGTGATGTTCTTGCATACGCACCTGTTGTATGTGGCATGCCGTACTTCGAATGTATTATGCAATAGAGAAGTGGCATGCGTGAATCGAAACGTGTTTGCATCCGGAGTGGGAACTGGTGGCTTTTGTATGTCATCACTAGCCTTAACAGTGTCCGGAGTTTTTGCGCACTTGCCTTTAAAATGATGGCACCCCTTAAAAATCGTTCAGAATTCGACTCACATTTTAGTCAACACGCGTTTAAGATTTACTGTGCGTTGCAATGGTCCTGCGAAATGTTGCTTTCAGCATGGTGTGACAGCCCGGTACATTATACTGATGCCATGCCGCATTCGCAGCGTAGTGTCTCTGCACGGGGGGGGGGACGAGGCTTTCAAAAAAGTGATATTTCCCTCAAAATGTCATATTTACGCTCTGCCTTTGTTGGAGTTGAAAGGGTATCTTTTCGGAATGGCATGCTCTCGTCGTTCCATAGAGCGGTAAGTGAGGAGGTGGTGAGGCCTAGTCGTGCAATCCCTGACATCGGAAGGATTTTTTACTTGAGTCAGAGCTTGAGCCTCATCAATGCGTGCCTCGCGTCAAGTGATCAAGACGGATGCATCCTGCATCTTCATGTCTTTATTAATCCTTCCTCTCGAAGGATCTCGCTGTCTGACAGCCTAGTGAACATCCTGCGTCGTCGATGCGGTGATCGGACCTAGCTTATGTATTATAATTTCCATGACGTTCAGCGGCATGCGTAGTTTGTCGTGTCCTGCAGATACCAGCGTCCTAAAGCGCATCGTCTTCACTTGGCGACGTCGCACCCGACCGCCTCCAGTCCGACCTCCCTCCCCAGGATGGGCAGACTGTCCGCTGACTGGCGGCCTCTCAGCTGACAGCCGCCGCGCCCGCCCGAAGGCCGTCAGACCTGCCCAGACCTGCGCGGGTGAACAACGGCACGTTGCGTGCCGCCAGGGCCGCGGTCGTGGCTCCGGTCGAGGGTATCATCCAGATGTCATCCGTCTCTTGCGCAGCATGCGGCTGAACCGGAAGACAAGCAACAATTATCGATGACGATGTGGGAAATAATCCAACAATTAATCATTAAGCAGCCAACCCAAGACTCAGTTAATTGCCATTTCATGCCGTAACTGACAGGTTACCAATAAAATCAACGATTGATTAATTCCCAATTAGTTAGATAACTGATCGGTTACCAAGTTATCTAATACTTAATTTGTTACTAAGTAACAAATCAGAAATTGCAAGCTAACGATTTCTGCTTTCTGCCTGCGAAGGGATGGTTAAAATACAACGTTGGTTGCGGAATGAAGTAAGGTGGCCAAAGAGTGTTCGATTAGAAATCGACTAGCCGGAAAGTTCGACCCTCCATTGGTGCGTGTAGGGCGCCGCCCATGGCGTGGTGAGCGGCGCGAGGTTGCGGTGCTTATGCCGCATCAAGCCGCAGGTGACGGTGGGTGGTTGGACGGTTGGATGGCCAGCAAAAATGGCCATCGGTGAACGGCGTTAAGGCGGTATCAATGGTGAGCGTTAGTGGGACGCGCCATCCATATTGGCTTTCCCGGCTAGGACGGTGGTCTGGGTCCACTGTCTACCTACGCTCTCGAAGTGCATGGACCAGCTTTATAGATGAGGCTGTAGACAAGTTTCTAAGTCGTGCTATTGGCTAGTCAGCGTGATCCCACGACATGAATTCGATTTGCCTCAATGTAAGTCTAGCCATCGCGCCTTGGCATACATATCAAGACATATACATTAACAGCCGTGAACCCAATCGGACAGCAAACACCTTTTCGCCTAGTTTCAGGCTCCCTCTTAGTGCTGCGATCCAAGGCCGTGACCTGCTTACGCCCGTGACCAATGCGTCATGGAACAGTTCCATCCTTCAACCGACACCATACCAGCCTTCGACATGCTCCAAATGTCGTGCTGAGAACGGAAGGAAATCGGAGATGAGAGATCCATTTGTAGCCAAAAACCCAAGACTAGGCTTGGATCAAGCTTTTGTTTTCATAAAGGGATTCACATCGTGGGTCACCTCAAAATCGCAACCGTACTGGAGATAGCATGTGTTGCTGACGGTATTACAATACCATACTGGAGATAGCATGTGTTGCTGACGGTATTACAATACCATACTGGAGATAGCATGTGTTGCTGACGGTATTACAATACCGTACTGGAGATAGTATGTGTTACTGACGGTATTACAATACCGTACTGGAGAGAGCATGTGTTACTGACGGTATTACAATACCGTACTGGAGATAGCATGTGTTGCTGATGGTATTACAATACCGTACTGGAGATGGCATGTGTTGCTGACGGTATTACAATACCGTACTGGAGATAGCATGTGTTGCTGACGGTATTACAATACCGTACTGGAAATAGCATGTGTTACTGACGATATTACAATTCCAGTGTGACCGATATTTTGTTCCTGAATCAGTATCCTCGCCAATGTTTGCTGAGTTATGTTCAATTTCCTGCACTGAATGACAAGTGTCCAACCAGCCATGGTTCTGAATCGCGCAAAAATGCAAGCGATTCGGATGAAACCGAACTCAACCAAAATCCGAATGATTCCTGTTTCGATCATGAGCCTAAATCAAGTCAAACACGAGCCAACCTCGCCGTGCGTTTGATGCTACGCCAAACAACCGGCCTTCGCTTAGTGAATGCAGGCAAGCATACTGAGGCGGATGTCCAGCCGATGAGCGACGACCACTGGAGGTGGGCCCGTTTCGAGCCGTTCCTAACCCGTCCACACGATGTCCAGCCGCTGAGCCACGACCACTGGAGTTGAGCCCGTCTCGAGCCGTTCCTAACCCGTCCACACGACGTCCAGCCGCTGAGCCACGACCACTGGAGGTGGGCCCGTTTCGAGCCGTTCCTAACCCATCCACACGACGTCCAGCCGCTGAGCCACGACCACTGGAGGTGGGCCCGTCTCGAGCCGTTCCTAACCCGTCCACACGACGCCGCGTCCCAGGGTTCGGCCGTCGAGACCACCCACAGCACTGACAGAGGAATGGTCCAGTGCAGACTGGGCCCATCGTCCTGCGCGTGGCGCCGCTGACCGCCGGCCGGGGCCAGACCGGGCCCACGTGGGTGGCGGCCGCCTGGACAGAAGCCGGCACCGACCCGTGTGTATTGACGTGGCGTCGCTGTTTATTGTCAGAGGCGATAGGCGGCGCTGCGCGCTCTCTGTCAGAGCTGCGGGGAGAGGCAACAAAGGACAAGGCTTAAGGGGCGGCGCCCTCGCGTTCATACGGCATTCGACGCCAGCGCGCCTCGGCGAGGAGATCTGCTTCCCGGGGAACAGCCGTGTACCGACCGCTGCATCGGGGGCGTCAGCACCCTCTCCGCTTTCCTGGGTGAAGTGGAAGGGAAATTGGAAGTGGTGCCGCCACACTAGGCTGACGATGCGGGCGGCGGTGGTGGCTCTGCTGCTGATGACGGCGGCAGGCTCAGTTCTGGGCCGCGTCACGGAGACATCGCTCCCTGCCGGAGCGGAGGCGACACTGGAGCAGCCAGGCCCTCAGGGACGGGCGTCCGAAGGCCGGCCTGCTGGTGAGCGTACCGCGGGCCGGATGGCGCCGCCACCGAGCGCCCCACCGCGCCCGGCGCTGGCCAACGGCACGGCCACATGCGCCGGCTCGCTGTTCCGCTGCGACGACGGCCGCTGCATCGAGTGGGCGCTCGTCTGCGACGCCTCGCCCGACTGCCGAGACGGCTCGGACGAGGCGGCTTGCCAGCCTAGCCGGCGGCCGCGCAGGGGCGTTGGCGGCTGCACTGACAAGGAGTTCCGCTGCCTGGACGGCACGTGCATCGAACGGTGCTACACGTGCGATACGCGGCCCGACTGCCCCGACGGCTCAGACGAGCACGCGGACCACGGCTGCGCCCTGCTCTGCGGACCAGGCGAGTTCCGGTGCGACAACAGGTGTCTTCCGAACTCGAAGCTGTGCGACGGTGTGAGGGACTGCATCTTGGGCAACGATGAAGTCGGATGTCCGACGCTACCGCCGCCGCCTCCGCCGCCGCCATCGTTCTGCACTGACAAGGAGTTCCGCTGTCTGGACGGCACGTGCATCGAACGGTGCTACACGTGCGATACGCGGCCCGACTGCCCCGACGGCTCAGACGAGCACGCGGACCACGGCTGTGCCCTGCTCTGCGGACCAGGCGAGTTCCGGTGCGACAACAGGTGTCTTCCGAACTCGAAGCTGTGCGACGGCGTGAGGGACTGCATCCTGGGCAGTGACGAGGTCGGGTGTCCGACGGCGCCCACAGTAGCGCCATGTTCCTACTACGAGTTCCGGTGCGACGGGCGATGCCTGGACAATGGGAGGCGCTGCGATGGAAGGAGGGACTGCTCCGACGGTTCTGATGAAAGGGGCTGTCGTCCCACCACCACAACCCCAAGACCTTGCTCGTATTACGAGTTCCGTTGCGACGGAAGATGTTTGGACTTTGGGAGACGTTGTGATGGAAGGAGAGATTGTTCCGACGGCTCCGACGAAAGAGGATGCCGTCCCACCACCACAACCCCAAGACCTTGCCTCTATTACGAGTTTCTTTGTGACGGGAGATGTCTGGATCTAGGGAGGCGTTGCGACGGAAGAAGGGACTGCTCCGACGGTTCCGATGAAAGGGGATGCCGTCCCACCACCACAACCCCAAGACCTTGCTCGTATTACGAGTTCCGTTGCGACGGGCGATGTTTGGACGTTGGGAGACGTTGTGATGGAAGGAGGGACTGCTCTGACGGCTCCGACGAAAGGGGGTGTCGTCTCACTACAACAACCCCAAGACCGTGCGCAAGCTACGAGTTCCGTTGTGATGGGCGATGCCTGGACACCAGCCATCGCTGTGATGGCGTGCCCGAGTGCTCGGACGGCTCCGACGAGCGAGGATGCCCGGAGCCGCAGCCGGTGACCGGCTGCGCCGACAACGAGTTCCACTGCCTCAGCGGCGAATGCATCGACAGCTGCTACATGTGCGATGGCCGCAAGGACTGCGCCGACAACTCTGACGAGTCGCACCAACACGGCTGCTCGCGTTCAGCGCCGTGCGCGGGCAGCGAGTACCGCTGCGACGAGCGCTGCATGCCGGCCGAGACACTCTGCGACGGCAAACGGGACTGCTCCGACGGCCACGACGAGCGGGACTGCTGAGACGGCCACGACGAGCGGGACTGCTGAGACGGCCGCGACGAGCGGGACTGCTGAGACGGCCGCGACGAGCGGAACTGCTCCGACGGCCACGACGAGTGGGACTGCTGAGGCGGTCGCGACTAGCGGGACTGCTGAGGCGGCCGCGACGAGTGGGACTGCTGAGGCGGCCGCGACGAGCGGGACTGCTGAGGCGGTCGCGACTAGCGGGACTGCTGAGGCGGCCGCGACGAGCGGGACTACTCCAACGGCCACGACGAGCGGGACTGCTGAGGCGGCTACGACGAGCGGGATTGCTCCGACGGCCACGACGAGTGGGACTGCTGAGACAGCCGCGACTAGCGGGGCTGCTGAGGCGGCCGCGACGGGCGGGACTGCTCGGACGGCCACGACGAGCGGGACTGCTGAGGGGGCCGCCGCCCGGCGGCGATAGTCGGCGCTGGGCGCGGTGCACCGCCGCGGGCGATGCAGCTTTCTGGGAAGAGATCGTAAATCAGCTAAGAGGTGACAGCATTGTAACGCACCCATGCCCATACTCCACTGGCGGATGGACCTTCGGGGCTCGGGGGCCGGCAAGACTGTGGACATGGCAACGATCGCCTGCCTTTCTGGTGGGGAGCTGGTTTGTTGATCCGAAAGCATCGTGCGACTTTATTTGGTGCGGTGCCTCCTCTTAGCCGCAACTGGCAGAGCGCGGCGACTAAGCCGTTGCGTTTCTTTGCCATGGCCCCGTGCATATTGCCACATATGTTGATGCGAGTCAGTGTGCCTTGATGACGTGTCTCAAACAGGCACTAGTCCGGAGTTCGAAGTCTATTTGTTTGTGAGACGGAACTTGTGCGGATGATTCTGTCGCGGGACTGGGTGCATTGTCATTAGTGCGGGGAGATGTCTTGTTTTTCTCAAAATATACGACAAAATACGCCAGCCCCTCTATTTGAGTGGGAGTCTCAGAAGGGCCTGAAATCTCGTAAACCGCGCAGAACCACGTTGGAAGCCAAACCAAGGTAAACCACGCAGAACACGGCGTTGGAAAACCCTCGTCAAAGAACATCAGGCCGGTGTCTGAACAGAAGTGGATGTGATATTTCACAGGTCAAACCAAGCCAAAGGGACCAACTGACACTCTAAAGGCCCCTCCCTCCTTCCAACTAAAAAGTAACTAAAAGACTAAACATGCTTTGACCATGCGGAAGAGTGCGCTGAATAGCAGAGCGGAGGGACAACGCCAAAGGCCTCTGACGTCTCAGATTTGCTGGAGATACCCTGGTGTTCTCGGAAGTTCCTGGTGGCTTCGAAGGCACTTAATGTCCCTGGCCCACATGCTCCGACGTAAACACATCGAGTGTGGTGCCTCGCACATTTCGGGTCTCTTTCAGTCCCTCACTGTCTCAAAGAGCCATCTATATTTCCCGTCTGTGTGAGCTCCTCGAGAGGTATTTTGTCTGTTTTTTTTTTTGGTCGCCCTTATACCACTGTTTCCATTTAAATGGATGACAATGCCAACTCTGAGTTACAGTACGAGGATACACGCCGGGCTTTTGGCCACATCCCCAGAACCATCGGCGTACACACGCACCAAACCCCAAAATAAACGTTTCTCTCATCGCGAGCTGCTTCTCAAGCTTCAAAGATCGGTCACGGCCGTGGGATACAAGGGATGCTCGTCGGTGCCGGAGCTGCATACGTTGGAAGGAAATGCGGGAAATGACAACGCCTTGGTCCACAGTAATGCAGTAGAAGGACCCTGTCAGCCACGAACCCCAGTGCCGAACTGGGGCCCGTTTTAACCGGGGCTTCGATAAGTCGAACTGTGGCTCGTATGCGTGTTTAGGTGGCATGTTTTATTGCCACAATTTTTCCCAAACTTTTTTGAGAGGCTGAATTTGAGACCGGAACTCAAGCAAGCCAAGGTTGTTTTGTGTGCACTGGACTCCAAATTCTTATCGTGAAATTCAATTACACGACAGAACTTTGTGGATCAAAATTATATCGTGCGATTGAACGACGGCTGCTGCCACGGACCGCGGACTTTCCAAGTCAGGGGCCAAAGGGCGAACACATGTAGACACAGCCAAGAGAGGACCTTGACGCCCTCGCCTGACCCGCCCAGCCCCTACACCTTAGACCCGCATTTTCCTTTCAGTACCATAAAATAATAGATGGCTCCTGCCAACACAAACAGAAGCGTGATGAGTTCTCACTAAGCTACCTGCCCTCCCACCCTACTTACATTACCCAGGTTGTGTCCCTGCTAGAGCAAGTGGCGACAGGAGCCCCACTGGGGGTTAAATCCCCCCCCCCCCCCACTACCATAATACCACACATGGCGGTATCATACCGCCACCGGTGGACTGAGATCGGCAGGGGCTGGTACCGACCGTGCTACGGAAGGCGACAAGTTGTGCTTATCGTTATGTTTTAAATGACTTTGGTAATAGTTATAGCATACCGCTCCAACGGCACTCTGACATTTTAACACTCATCAGGGGAGCAGTTTAGGGAGGGGCACGGGTGACCCAGCCCGCTAAGGCACATATTTGTTTCGCCATACAAACCTCCCGACAAAAAGTGACAACTTGACGTGGTGCGTGCTCAGCGAGCTCCAGGCCCCTTCCATAAGAAAATACCGGCTCCGCCCCCGGCCTTCATGTCTGGTCGGTTTCCCGGACCAGACCAGACATAGACTCACACCACTGGTGGCAAATCAGATATTTTTGGTGGTGTGACCTTTTTGGCTTGCTGATTCGAGCGGTGATAAGGTTATGCGTTTTTGGCGATGGATGAGGCCAGGAAGCGCATTCGCCAAATCCGGGGAGCAACTCGTTTGTTGGCGTGATTTTGTGGCAGACTTTTTCACCCCCGCATTGTCATTGTTGAGCCTCCCCGACTATTCTCACTTTGCGAAACTGCGCCCCTGATGTGCTCACTCTGGTTGTATAATGAACTGTGTCCCATTTCAACTGGAAACACAGAATTGTCAGTCATGCTTAAACTTCTTCAGACATCCACAAATAAACTGGAACGAATGCTTCCACGACAGTGACAACAGACTTTTACCGGAAGTGCAGGTTGCCGGCCCCGCGTCCCCCCCCCCCCCCCCCGTCACCCGCCCGACCAGCGCGCCACCGCACGTTTGCCACTCAGTCTGAGCCCGACAGCGGCGCCGGCGAGCCCGTGTGGCTCTCTGACGACAGGCTGGCCAGAGCGGCGCGCGGTTCCGTCCCGTTCAAGACGTCGAGCGCGGCGGCAGGGGCGGCACCGCCTCGGCAGAGCCGGCAGCGCCGCCCCCTCGCTGCTGTACAAACAAGCGGCCGGCCGAGCCGCGTGTGATCGACAGGCCGCCGGCGCCCGCTCCGCTGACGGCCTGTCATCGCGGCTGTGTCCGGCTGGCCGTCTGTCTGCGCCCGTCCGCCGTCTGTGGGCCGGGTGGTCCAGCGGGCGCGCGTGAGGTCGAATGGAACGCGAGCGCTCCCTGTGGCGGGTCCCACCGACCGGCCGAGGCGGCTTGCTGGGGCTCTCCGCCCCGGGCGCTTCTCGTTTCTGCCCGGCGTCCACAGACGGCGTGTTCCATACCGACACATCCGCTGTCAGCGGCGCCACAGACCGATTAGCATGGGATATTTGGAAAGAAAACGCTGAGTGGGTACAATTTCCATTCCAGAAACATGTCCAACATCCCCTTGATCCATGAGTTTTTTCAAGGCCTGCAATGATGGAAATAACAATGCTGAATGGCATTCAAGAGAAACTGAGACAAAGTTGGAGCCTGGCGACACGTGGCACGGTTTTTGATGAACGTCTCCATGCAAAATCATCGCATTGCCCCCTGTGAACCATCGCATTGGGGCTTCTAACACAAGCACCCTTAGGAATCAGTGTGTTAAGTTTTCCAATCAACATGTATGCACTCTTACTAACGAACACTCAATTTCCCTAGCCTCCGCGCCGCAGTCCGACCGGATATACACCGACCGCTGCACGGTCGACACAAGTTAGCTCAGCGAATACATCACATGCAAATACCACACACTAAGTACAGTTCATTGCGCGCGCGCACGCACACACATCGCTGAGCTTTCGATACAAGCTAGTCCATTGAACACATCATGCAAACACCGCCCTTAACGACGCAAGTTTGGACTCTCCCTGCTTCAGTGCACATGTAGATGCCTGAACAAGCCGACAAATGAGGCAAGAGTAGAAGGAATGGGATGGACACAGGGTGCCGCGAACTCACGGTAAACCGCATGATATCCCGGGCAAGACCAAGTTCGCATACACCGCACACCCCTTCGGAGGAATGTGTCCTTGTCGTTGCAGACGTCTCCACTGCGCGGCGGGGGCACGCCGGCCTCCTTTTACTGTGCCGCCATCAAGAGACGGGAGATTGGTGGATCCGCTAAGGGGTGTCCGCACTCACCGCAGCCGGCAGCACCGCCTCCAGGGGGCTGGCGCGCCAGCAACCCGCCACGACTCCAGAGGAAGCCGGCCAACCCACAGGAATGACAGTAACGTGACAGGAGCTATATGAGGCATGGACATACCCGCGGCGCATTCCCGGCGCGCCAGTCCGAACAACACCGGACGAGTTAGGAGTGGTGCGGTGCCACTCATGCGAGTTGAGCATGTTCAGCATGCGAGTCTGAGGCGTCGGTCCCAGTCGCGAAAGGAAAACGGAGCATGAGAAGGGAAATGACTACTCGCGCGCCCACGAGACAAGCAACTGGCCAACCAGTTTTGCACTCCTGACTAGGATGGATGATAAAGCGGACGGAAGTACAACATACGTGACGAATGGCAACCCAACTCTCCCCCCCCCCCCCCCCCCCCTCCTTCCCCTGCCGTGAACAGCAGCCAATACTGGAAAAAGCCAGCAAAACGTGTCTATCAAACGGTACACGTCGACATAACAGATGAGTGTCATCATGGTCAGCAACAGACTAAGTATGCACTCAAAAAACGATACCTTTTCCTTCTCGTCTTTTTCATACAGAGACAGCCAGCCAACTGTGGCCGATCCGATGGCACTGAAAGCCATCCCCGATCACAGATCCTGACATGTCTCCTACCCATGTAGGGACAAACACGTGAAACGAAATATAATAATATGCCGGCAATACACATCCTTAATGGAGGCCACACGACCACCTAATGAGAAGCCCCATTGCACCACGCCCAAGAACGCAGCTGAACCAGCCCGCCGCATTCACAGTACGCCACTGTTGATTGGTGCCTGACTGATGCCAGGAGACGGTTAAAGGTGCTGATTGCGTCCTACCGTGCCTCCAGAACACACAAATGACTAGAGCGGCAACGTTGGCTCACTGTCCGTGAGTCACAGCAATGTCTGCAGAGCCGCAGCAAATTGGTGCCAACGAATATCCTGTTTTTACGGGACAGCTAAAAGTCGCTGCTGGTCACAGGCAGACACGTAACAGAAGGTCGACACTGGCTTGGCCGGACTGCGCAGTCCACGGTGATGACAGCGTGGTCAGACAACCGACAAGCCTCGTCAGCTGTGTGTATGCCCTGCTCGCTTCTCTGAGAACGTCAAATAGGTCGCACGTTAAAACGGCACCCACATGATTACTAGAAAACGACACTGATACACTTCCAACGGCGAGCCTTTCAAGTGGTACATAGCCTGTCGCGCGTTGTTACCCAATGGAACGGCCCACACCGGGCCAGACACGGCTTGATGCTCCATCCTCCCAGCAGTTGACTACTGATGCACAATAGTCGTGATACACAGTACACGCCGTACCGGCTCGATAATCATGCAAAGTTATTTTAAACTGGGGTTAAGCACCTTCCCAACCTTGGGACAAACCACAGATATTACGGGCGCGTTTCATGCCTCGGATTACGTGATATTGGGACCATGACAAATTTTCGAGGCCGCATTCAGCAATATTACGATCGAATACCATCATCATGAATCGAACATAAATGGATCTTTGAGACCAAAGAAAACGCCACGACGTGACTGAAACCGGTGTTGCTGCTGAAACGTGAAACATTTATGCAATGTTACGGACAATTATGTCTCAATTATGCAATGATACGGACAACCGGAAAAATCAATTTGCATGTTCCGTTCAGTTTCATTCCTTGGCGTCGAAGCAGCCGAACAAATTATGGGGCTTCGCAAGAAATCCAACACTGCGAACGCGTTCTGGATGATGCTCTCCCTGTGATGATGATATGATGTGTCAGCGCACTGAGCTCTGAACAGCCCGGCTGGCGATGTCCTCCCGCTGGCGTGGTCCTAACAGCGACGGACGGCGACTCCCGGAGCCCCGGTACAGCCACCCCACCGCGCTCGGCTCCGATGGACACTGAAGCTGTGCGCCGTAACAGCCACACCGAAATCGGCCCGAGGAGCGTCACTGGCGTCCTGCCGTGACCCGATGTACGCTGCCAAAGCCCTTCTGAGCTCAACGACAACGACGGGTCAAGCTCGCGTCGCCTGCTGCTGCCTGGGAACACCACTGAGGTGCTACTGCCCGGTGCCGGGGTAGGGTGGCGGCGGGTCTGCAACACAGACAGCAACAGTGAGTGACACAAACCCGCCACAGTCGATACCACAACGGATCAATCGGTACCGCTGCACCGGATTGATCGATACCAGCCTAACGGATCAATCTGTACCGCCATAACGGATAAATCCGTACCGCCATAACGGATCAATCGGTACCGCCATAACGGATCAATCGGTATCGCCATAACGGACCAATCGGTACCGCTATAACGGATAAATCGGTGCCACTATATCGGATCAATCGGTACCGCTATAACGGATCAATCGGTACCGCCATAACGGGTCAATTGGCATCGCTATAACGGATCAATCGGTACCGCTGTACCGGACCGGTCGATACCAGCCTAACGGATCAATCTGTACCGCCATAACGGATCAATCGATATCGCCATACCGGATCAATCGGTACCGCTATAACGGATCAATCTGTACCGCCACAACGGGTCAATCGGTATCGCTATAAGGGATCAATCGGTACCGTCCAGCCGGAACCACAGAGCCGTGCTGTGAGGCGAGAAGCTGGATGCAAAGCTGCGATATTCTTTCTCTGACCAACAGCACTGGACATTGCTGATCTAAGAATGCATTGCGTAACAATCGCATTGTCGACGCGAACTGTGCTCTAATTTGTATGATGCTATCTGTCAGTATGTCTGTTTAACGCATCATCTCAGAAGTTGAGAATTCTCCAGCAACATAAGGCTGCCTACAATATATCCGTAAGAAAAGGCTTCAGTCCACGGTTTAAGGGAATTATGAGCCAAGACCTCTTATGCTGAGTTATCGGCACTTAGTATTCCTGAAGGTACTGGTTTAAGGGACGTCATAGAGCACGTCTAACCATATTGTCAATACTCGACGCTTCGAGTCGTGCTTATGCTCACGGTCCCGTACCTTAAAGCACCGCTTCAAACGTCGAACATTCCCAACATAATCAATATTTGCTTCAGAACGTCGTTTCACCAGTACCTAATGCCATTTGAATATCGATAACTCCGCATGGGCACTTTGAATTCATCGAGTACCTTAACTTGTACACTGCACGATGATGCAAACATCAGTTACAATATTTAAAGCACGCAGGATGTTCTGCGCCAGTAATGGTATTTCAGCTCACCTAACTTGGAGCTGCTAGCACCGCACCTAAAAACGTCAGGGTAGGTTAGCAGCCAACACCAGGTGGTCCGAGGGTGTTGGCGCGCACCACAAACACGACCTTTGGGGATGCCCAGTTCGCTCCCACACACCGTCGCGGATGGGCCAGACGCGTCGAGCAGGGCGGGCACGTCACTGACATCACTCCCGTTCGCGGATTGGGCAGAGATGGTCTTATGATTGGTACTGTCTCCTTATCCTGTGACGAACTGTCGGCGTCGATGAGCAACCAGTCACGCCTGAAGCGCCATTTCTGGAGGTTTGAACTCGTACTCAGAGCAAGCCTACGCTTCACACCGCCTCACAGGCCAAGCAGCTCGCTGCTAACTCCACTAACGCCCCCCCCCCCCCCCCTCCCCCCGGCACAGACGTCTGTGCAGGAGCTCGGCTCACCCCATGCGAATGTTGGAGCCGCTCTGCCAGGGCGCGGGGCCGGCCGGCGGCGGGAGGTGGGGCGCCCAGCCAGGTCCCGGCCCTGGCCCCGGCCTCGGCTCCAGCTCCGGCGCCGAAGGGTACCCACTGCCTGTGGGGCGCGACAGCGGGTCACAAACAGCCCACCGTCACCGGACGCGCGGCCGGCAGGCGCCCCTGCACGACCAGCAGCCGACATCCGGTGACGTCGATCGCCAAACCCTCGCGGAAAACCACTATCCTGGCCGCCACATGACGCCAGAAACTGAGCCTGAACTCTGCGCGAGCGCCGCAAACGCTCACGCAGAGTTTGGCGGTGGATCGAAACACGATCAAAAAAAGGTTGAAACATCCCACCTAAGCGCCAGAACGACAGTACTCTAGCGATATGCTGATGACTTATCACTTAAATTTCATTCCAAGGTAGCAAAGCACCGCCAAGTAAGACGTGGCGTGCCGTTTTTCTAGATTTTACCGCATGTGAGTTTTTCAGAGCTGGACGGTACCGGGGCTGACCAGAGCACCTGCATACCTTGCGCATAGCCTGTGGCCGCCGCTACCAGTGCCCCCGGGGCGGTGGCCGGGTCGTGCGCGTGTGCAGGCGGCGGCGGATGCACCCGACAGCCGCTATCGTAGCCGGCAGCGGGCGGCGGCGGTGCGGCCGTCTGCGCCGAGCGCACCGGACCCAGAGGAGCGCCGTTGTCTGGAGCGGTCACGTTGAGGAGGGGGAGTCAGGCGTGGCGGTGGCAGCAGTCAGGCGAGCGGCGAGAAACGCTGGACGTGATAGCACGGCAGCAGGCCCGGACAACTCCGCATAACTTCACGGACGGACAGCTTCCGTTGGACAGATCTGGGAGGGCGGCAGGCCCAGACACCGAAGCGGGGCCTCACAGACGGACCCCTTGCTCTGGGCAAACTGGCGAGCCAGGCGGACAACGGACCCCGATGATACGCCCGGGGACCTAACCGGACAACCAGCAGCCGGGGGGCGGCCGGTGACGTGGCTCACTGGTGCGTACGACGCGTCCCCGCCTCCTGAGCCAGCGGTGGACAGGGCAGCACGTGCAGAAGTAGCAGCAGACCAGACTGCCGACGGCCACCAGCAGCACAAGGCCGCCGGTGATGGTGTGCAGTGCCAGCAGCACCCTGGCATCGGAGACGGGTCAGACGGTGCTCAGCGACCGCACGCAAGGTGGCCGGGAGATGGGGCAGCCAGGAGCTGGGCCAGGTGACATGGAATCTAGACAGGCAGCCAAAGCTGGGAGGGCCTGTGGGTGTCACAAGATGGATACAGATATTTACTGGGTATTGCTTGTTGCATGGACACTTGCCCTGCTCACCAAACACTGTTGACTATGATGATTCTGCTGCATCTGACTGGCTAAAGAAAACTAAGTGACCTTCATCACCCAATGCCATAACAGGGCTGAGCCTGCATGCATTCTCATTGCCCAGGAAACATGATGCCTGATGTAGGAACAAGTTATGCAATGGTGTGCATGGATGGCCAATACCTCAGCCACTCAATGTGAAATGAGACAGACCAGGGCATGCCAAATGCAGAAAGTGACCAAACATAGAACCATATCACACAGATGGAGATAGATGCCCACACACTTGATGTGACAACCCAACATCACAGAGCAGCAAGCATCAAACTGCATTTCCATAAATAAACTTTGGCTTTGTACCCACGTTGCATTATCAAGAGGATCCTGGGACATTGTGTTGTAATCTGACTTTGTGCAGCACTGTAGTGTTTCTCCTGAGCTGCAAAAGTAGCTCCTGTCTCGTGCCTCCCATGAGTCACTGGCAAAAGCAATGGAGCTCCTTAGTCACTGACAGCAAAGTTATGGGAGAACAAAACTGCATGGCTCCTGCAAAAGATAACAACTTTAACACAGACAACATGACAAGCAAGACTTGTACTATTGTATTGTATTGTACTATTGTAACTGTACTGCACCTCACTCAGGCAACCAGGTTTGCACTGACTTCACCTGGGAGGTCATCACAATGCCTCAAGTAAAAAACCCAAAATGAAAACTAACTTCCAAAGGGCCTAGAGCCTTTCTATCATAGAGCAACAGCATAGCTGGCAGGGATAAAGTGGCCGGTCAGCCCATTGTAAAATCTCACTTAAGTCTCACAGTTTCCAGCCTTGGGCTGCACTTGGAGACTGCACAACCTCCATTGGAATTTTGATTCCTTAGCTTACTGAAATGAAGCATTAGTACAAAATCAGTCAGTTCCTTCAGTAATTGTCAACCTGATGTCTGCCCTTGTCGAACTGTACACCCCTCAGCCAAACTCTAAGCAAATACAATGCAAGAATGGCTGTGATATACATCAATTATCATCTGTCATGGTTTTTCTTCTATAAAAGGAGGCGAGCTACTTAAAAAAACAGCAAGGCCAAATGATGCCAGGCTTCATGAGAGACTCCCGCTGCCGGCGGTGTTCCAGGATCATGAAATGCACCATTGCTATGTACAAATGGGCCAAATCCTGGAAACTCAAACAGTCATAAGCATGACCATCACTGGCTTAGCACTCGCCAACTGATTTACGATTACGTCACAAAGCCTAAAAGTTACACCAACCTTTCAATAGTTCCGCGCAGGACCACACGAGACCGGACGTGACCAGGCGGAACTGGACCCCGCCGAACAAGACCGGACTGTGATTAAACTGGACAGGATGGAGCCGGGTAGCACGAAATGAAACCAGACGGACCGGACGGGCCGGATGGGATCAAAAGAGCTCCGGAAGGGACAGAGTCAAACCGGACGGGATCAGACGATGTCGGACGCAATCGGACGCGGCCGACGTAAATCAGACGAAGTGGAATGGGACCAGACGGCAACGGACGGCGCTTGGTGGAGCGTTATGAACCCAGACGTGGTATGGGACCGTACAAAACCGAACTGGATAAGTCTGGACGGGACTGGATGGAACCAGATTATGAGACCAGATAGAAGATGGGACCATGCAGCACCGGACGGGACTAGACGGGACTAGATGTCCAGTCCGTCCGGGTCCGTCTGATCTCGTCGACGGGATCAGAAGGGCCCCGTCTAGCCACACTCGATCCCGTTCTGTCCCGTCCCGTTCCTTTTACCTACGTCCCTCCAGATATAATTAGATCCCATCGTGCGTCAGTTTCTGTCTGGTCCCGTTGGGCTAGTCCAGTCCCATCCCATCCCAGGTCCCGTCCACCTCCATCTGGAAACAAAGTTTGCAGACCCTTGAACTGACCTTGACATTTCCTGTCGTTCTGATTTCTCATTTTCGGCTCATTAAAGCTAAATCCATGATGTATTTTCGTTTGCGCATATTTTGTTCATATTAGACGATTGGATTGCGAGAAAGCATGGTGGCACCTTTGTCTTCCGGCTTTCCTGCAAGAGGCGCTTGGCTAGGGTGCCAGCCAATTACGGAATGCTAAGTTTTGAAGCCGATATCATGACCTGACTGGGAAAAAATGTATATCTATACCAAACAAAATGTTTACGGGCTTGCAGTCTCAAACTGTTTCAAAAGCTTAGCAAATAGCGGTATACATGTATCAGCAGTTCACCATTACGGGCCAAATAAGCTTATGACGTCATTATTCGAGTCAGCGGAATTCGGGTGGACGATTATCCTTTCAGTTCCAAGGCCTTGCACCGTTATTGCCTTCACCAGCCTTGGCGTACACCACCCCGCACGCTGTCTGGAGGGTCGCAGGGGCTGTTTGTGGACAACGTCGAGATAGTTGGAAGGTTAAGACCAGGAACCCGATAGATCTCACTCCAGCGGTTGCCGTGTGGAGCTCAATTCCTTGAGGCGTGACTGGCTGCCGCCTTTTTATGTTATTGTTGAAGAATACCTGGACGGCGGCGGTGAACGTTCGGGATTTTTCGTGAACCACTTGGTGGCGAATGAGAAAGCTAAAAAGCTTAGGTGTATCTTTGATATAGTGAAGGTACCATTGAATAGCTAGACGTTTGGGTGAACACATTTCCAAACAGGATGTAAGTTATTTAGACTGGCCAGTATTGATGTGTACTGTACCTGGTATATGTGTGTAGTTCATAGTATCATCAAATTTCTGTTCAGCATATTTGATTATATGCATGTCATGTTTAGATTAATTCCACTATGCACATTGTGATGCCATTTATCTTGTATGTATGTGTATTGATTGTGGTAGCTGTTAGCAACTCAATATATATTTAAGAAATTTTCAGAAATCCTGATTGCTGTGAACTGAGAAATGTCCATGGAGCTTGACTTGACTGTCTATTTGTTTCAGATATGAACACCATTGAGCTTGGGATATTTAACATTTCACATGCTGTTCTCTCACTTCCTTGTGTGATCTTAACCACTGCTGATTAAAATTTGCTATGTACCTACCAGCAGGTTTTCACCTCCAAAAGTACATTCATTGCCCAGTCAAAAATGCTGATGATCCACAGCATGACTGCCAGCAGCAGTCCATTGCACCTTTAGCCCTCATCAATGTTCTATGTTGAATTGTTCCTTTCATTATTCTAGCTAATTGCATGAAAAGGCCAGCTGTGTCAGGCCTCATCTTTCCTCGCCCCATCTGGTAGATAATGGAATTTGCTGCTGGTGTCCATGTTTAAAGGTGTGTTATTTCCTAATCCACCACAAAAATGTTGAGCACAAAGATGAATGGGGAAAAGGCTGTAATAATGCAGACAACAAATCATGTCAAGTGGCTTTTGGCTGGTATGGCTAATGCCAGGGCAAGGCCTAATTTGCTGTCATATTTTTAAAAGGGCCTAAATGCTATTGTACCTTTCATATGATGGCCTTTAGGTCTTTCTGTCCTTGTACAGCAGACACAATTTTGATAATTATGCTGGTTATATGGGAGGGAAGCTCTTTCTATTGCACCAGTGACTTTATTGTTTTGTGTTCCATAGTTGGGAGCAGAAGTGTCAGTTTACTGTTTTGTTGGAAATTGCTGGGGATGAAGCCATTTGGGAACCAAGTTTCCTCATCCAAGAAAACTATTGCACCAACTTGCTTGTTAGATCTCATAACCCCAGTCACAGTAGTTATCCCTTTAAAATGATAATGCCTAGCAAATTTCATTTTGATTTCTTTTTTGGGACAAGTAAAATAATTTGCTTCTGAAAGGCCTGCACCATATATTCACCTTTCATGCTGCCCATGTCATGCAAAAGGCAAGTACTTTGAAACCATTATGCATCATTAACAGACAGCTTGTCAAAAAGGGAGCAAAGAAAAGAATGTGCTGTATGCTGAATGCATAGTGCCTTGAGTTTACAGACCTTTGCTTCAGCACATTCTCAAAAAATGATTGTTAAATAGGCTCAGGTCCTGAAGCGCAGATTGGCGGAAGTAACCAGTATTGTTAAATAGGCTCAGGCTCCGAAGCGCAGTGTGGCAGAGGTAACCGGTATCGTTAAATAGGTCCAGGCCCCAAGGCACAGAGTGGCGGAGGTAACATGTTCATCAGTCCGGGTGGACAGGTAAAGCCGTGCTTGTTGGAAATGTCAGATCCAGAGATGAGCTGCGCTGATAACTGCTTTAAGGACGAGTAAAAGCCCTTGACAACAGCTGCTTTGGCCGGCCCTGAAAAGCTTTTCATTATCTTTTTAGGTGATCATTTATCTTGTGTTGGTATCGTTAATGTTTTTGGCTGGGAGGGGACTGTCTGAGGCTTCATAGTTCACGTACTAAGTCTATCGGCCATATCAACGTATTCTGTATTTATCAACAACGGTGTGCGGTCGATTGGCCACTGTCCTGAGGAAAATATTAGGTCGGCATATGACACGCGACTGGTGACGTCACAGGTCATTCCAAATGCCTCGCAGATCCCAGTCAACGTCAAATAATCTCGGGTCCCATGACACCTGCAATAAGGATCGCTTAAACGAGGTTTCCTTGTTTGTATGGGGTGTTGGTCCGAAACAGCCATCTTAAAGATCATTCGGCGCAGTTCACATCACTACCCTTAATACCTTAACCCTTCTAGTGTCTGGGCTGTACGCCCGCGAAGATTTGCCGACCGTTTCGGGAAGACAAGTTCATTCAGGCATCCATGACGCCTCAACAACGTCATGCAAATTCTGCTGTTCCACTGGGCGTGCGGCGATCAAGGCCAAGAAAAAACGAACAATTGTCGATCCGTTTATATCTGGTGTTCGTGAGCACGATTCCCGGGTATAACGACCGGTCGTCAATTGACACTTAATCAAGATAATGCAAGGTGCGATGACGTAATCAAACAGTGACTTATTGTGGGGCATATCTACTGAAAAGAGAACATCGCTGTCCAGAGCAGTCACTTCCACTTGGAAAGTATACCAATAATTAGTGAGCTTGCTTCATCACATCTGATGCTCGCGTAGATATCTTCAAATATGGAATATTCCCTTTAGATGGAATGATTCACTTTGAAACCTGCACCGAAAGAAAGAAATGTAATTTAGTTATTATCACACTACAACGCCTCTGCAATGCTGGGGAAGTGAATGATCAATTTGTTTACGGATCAGGCCATGGTCACGATAAGCAGTTTTGTATCATTTCGTAGCGTGCACTGTCTCGCGACCTTTTGACCTGTGCTGACCGATTTGGCAGTCATTGGTCTGGAGAATGTGTCCGAACAGTGGATCGTTTTGTCACGAGCTGCACAGATGTGTAACCTTACGTGACGCTTTTTAGTGACCGGAATCGTTTTGTTGCCTTATGATTGCTCCAGACACTCGGAATTCAAACCGACTGAAGCCTCACGCCAATGAAATCTCAGTAACAGGGTGTAACTCGCATGGCTTCTGATAGTGGCCTATGCAACTTCGTGAACCTTCATTAGTGGCGGCTTGTCTGTGATTAGCGTGAAAGCAGACAACGATGAAAACCCAGCGTGGTTATCACACAGATTTTGAAAAGAATTTGGACTCCAGCGTCAGACCTTCCATAAAATGTACCATGTTTAAAGAGATTGCTGGGCTTGATTTAAAATAAACAAATGAAGCAGGGCTACTGGCCGCTCACAGCGTCTCAAGATACCTATGGGCGTGCTCTGATGGCTCTGCAGATACCGATGCCAAATTGCGTTGGAAAAGGAAAGTAAACCAGTGGTCTCTCCCTTGCATCATCTTCATCAGTGCCAATTTGGGACCTATCTGGCGGTCGCTGCGCCGGCACCGCTGAAGGCGGTTGACGCTCCCAGCGTTGTCTGCTGCCCTGTCCCCGGCTGTTCCAACCGCCGCGAAGGTTCGAGCCGGACCGATCTCTGCACTGGTTCCGGTCAGGCCGGCCGCTGTGCTGGCTCCGGTGAGGCTGGCCGCTGTGCTGGCTCCGGTGAGGCTGGCCGCTGTACTGGCTCCGGTGAGGCTGGCCGCCGTACTGGCTCCGGTGAGGCTGGCCAATGTACTGGCTCCGGTGAGGCTGGCCACCGTACTGGCTCCGGTGAGGCTGGCCGTTGTACTGGCTCCGGTGAGGCTGGTCGCTGTACTGGCTCCGGTGAGGCTGGCCGTTGTGCTGGCTCCGGTGAGGCTGGCCGCTATACTGGCTCCGGTGAGGCTGGCCGCTGTATTGGCTCCGGTGAGGCTGGCCGCTGTACTGGCTCCGGTGAGGCTGGCCGCTGTACTGGCTCCGGTGAGGCTGGCCGCTGTATTGGCTCCGGTGAGGCTGGCCGCCGTACTGGCTCCGGTGAGGATGGCCGCCGTACTGTCTCCGGTGAGGCTGGCCGCTGTACTGGCTCCGGTGAGGCTGGCCGCTGTACTGGCTCCGGTGAGGATGGCCGCCGTACTGTCTCTGGTGAGGCTGGCCGCTGTACTGGCTCCGGTGAGGCTGGCCGCTGTACTGGCTCCGGTGAGGCTGGCCGCTGTACTGGCTCCGGTGAGGCTGGCCGCTGTGCTGGCTCCGGTGAGGCTGGCCGCTCTACTGGCTCCGGTGAGGCCAGCCGCTGTGCTGGTTTTGGTGAGGCCGGCCGCTGTGCTGGTGTGGAGAGAACGGCCATCAGGGGTCATAGTGGAGTCGGCCGCTGTGTGTGATGGGGCCAGCCGCTGCGGTAGTGCTGCCGCGGCCGGCTGCCGCACGGACTCTGTTTCGGGGTTTTCCCGTCTGGCTGGCCGTGATGTGGTCGCGCCAAAGGACGTGCGGTCCTGAATGGGACTGAACACTAGATAATGCAAAATGCCAGTAATCAGTCGTGTCAGTTATTAGTGAATTTGTCAGAAAGCAGGCTTCAGATGGAGCTGGGTGGTAGGGTGTCGGTTGCGAGGGAGCCGTTGGGGCCGTACTGTGGTGAGTAAGCCGCGTGGCGGCGAACAGGAGTTGCGGGGGTGGATTCCCTGTGGTACCTGCCCGTGCTGCCAGGGTGCGAGGCAGGCGATGCCATATGGCCTCAGAGGCTCAGTGCGTCTTAGCGAGTGCGTCTTGAGGAGGCCACAAGTTGCTGCAACCGCAGATAAACTTTGCTTACGATTGCATTTCAAACGGGTCTAGTGTCACGGTGGCTGATGTGCGACACATCTGCTCCGTCTGGTGTGTTAAAAGTCCATCGAAATGCCTCGGGTCGTAGTCGACTTGCCCCAACGATGGAAGGTGGGGGAGGTGAGAAAGCTTTTCCTGTGGTGACATTTTATCCTCGCCGCCGCAGTTGGCGTTTGTGGCAGTAAGGGATTTTTTCTCTTTTGCTGTTCGATGCATACCGAGGCTCAGGCACCGAGGCCCGGGCGGCCCATCGTGTGCAGCCACGTGCGGTTGCCGTGTGAGAGGTCATCACAGGTGTAGCGTTGGGCTGCGTGACCATGGTCACTTGCCATACCGGATATATATATATATATATATATATATATATATATATATATGAGAACTGAAAACGATATTGGTAAGGATTTTTTTGCTCAGCATTTGCTGCGGCGTTAGTTACTCTTGGCGATTAGCTGGTTTGGTCGGGTGTGATCCTGACGCATATCCCAATTTTGGAAAGGTTGGCATAGCTTATGGGTGCTTACGAGTT